AGCATACACAGCTCACCAAACAATAACAATCACCTTTCCTCATCACTATAGCATCTTCTCGCATACATTATTCTCAGCAGCCCAAAACTTTTACAGCTAAAAATATTCATGATAATAGTGAAGATAATGACGAAGATGCTGTTGCATATGATTAATTATAATTTTTTAGCCATGAATGATCAACACGTGAAGTTGAGACACACCCAGTTAATTATAATATTTAATTGGTTTTTAGTTTAATTAGTGATATTCACTTAATTAATGATAATTACTGCAATAATTGTATATATTTCTTTGTTTGGACAAAGTTGTTACAATTAAATATTTATTTAATCAGCTCTAAATTGTAGTTTTGTTGGAACATGAAAACAAAATCATGAGGAAATGAATGGAAACAAAACCATGTCTCGTCGTGTTTGTACATATGATTGTCTGCACACCTGATTTGTCTATGCTATAGCTGTTTTGTTTTTGTTCTCGCTGTGTTAACTTTTAAATATTTTGAAAAATTAATTATTAGAGTAAAAAGATAGAGAATCTGCCGGCCAGGAGTCCGTTGCACTATGTGGCGAGTTCCGACGAACCTGCCTAAATGTTTGGCGGTCAGTTTCAAATATTTTTGTGTAACCGGGTAACACTTGAAATTTCTGACCTTCTCTTATTATCGCTCGTATCGATCTTCTGTTTAATGTCGCAAATTTAGATCATTTCCCTTTTATTTGTATTAAATGTTTTTTTTTATTAGTTTTTTTTCATAAATTGGTGTATCATGGATGATAAAATTAATAAACCCAGAAAGATAAAAAATAAAAATTAAGTAATTTATTTAAAAATTAAATTTTAATTTAATTTAAAAAGTAATTAAATAATAAATAATTAAACTGCGAGGCCTGTTTTTTTAAGAGAACCCACGTAGCTGTTGCGGTCAAGCGCAATATTAGGACAAGTAAAGTTTTACAATCACAAGATGTCAATTCAGCTGGTAAGTTTTTTCTGAGTACTTTGATGAAGATTGCATTAATTTTTTGTAATAATTGACAATTGTGGATCAAATTTTGTCAATTTAATTTAATTTTTTAAAATTTTAATTCTGTTTCAATTTTTAACATCTGATATTTTATTTTATATAGAAAGATAAAATTTATATTGACTTGTTAAAAGTTATATACAATAAGAATAAAAGATAATGTTTTTTAGTTTTATGTTTTCATAAAATAAAGTAGAGTAGTTAAATTGAAAATATGTATTTTAATTTTGAAAATACCTATTTTAATTACTATTCTAAATTAGGTGGTGGAGGAGGAGGAATATTAAAAAAACTAATTGCACTAACTTTTGCTGGGGCTGGTGGTGTGGTTGGGTACAGTTGGTACGACCCCGAATTCAAAAAGTTGGTTGAAGAAAATGTACCTTATGCAAAAGAATGTTACGATGCTGTTTTTCAGTACCTACCTGAATCGGCGTCGACTATTGAAGATGCTGTTAAAAGGCATTTTTTTTCTTCAATTTCTTGTCATTTAATTTGATATTTGAGATTAATTTTATATTAATATAATATATTTATTAAATTTATTTGTATTTTATAATTTATTATATTTCAAATTAATAAGTAATTTTATTATTTTTTTTTTAATTTAGGTTACCGATAAAAACTACTGAAATAACAACAGTGCCACCACCTGTACAGGCACCTATACAAGAAGATAGTAAACCAGAAGTAAAAGGTTTGGCTATATTTTGACAATAATAAATAAATATAAATTTATAAATTAATTAATTAATCCATTAATTGAATCAATAATTAAATAAATTAATATTCAAATAGCTGAAGAAAAAGTGAAAACGAAAAAAGAGAGAGAGAAGGAGAAGAAAGAGGAGGCTGAGAAGTTGCTGAAACTTCGAGAGGAAAATGAAATCAATCAAAACAAAGGTACATAAAATTAATTATTTATGTACTATTTTTAGAGTTTCGTTATTCTGCATAAATTATTATAATGTTTGAAGAGTTAGTTATTTTGCATAAATTAATAAGATTATGTGGAAGTTGTTTATATATATATATATATATATATATTGTGTAACTGTGATGTATCTAACACATTATTCTCATCATATATGAGACTATTAGATATAAATAATTGGATATAAATTAAGAAAATTACAAACACAGCTGGCTAAATAATAACTGGCTTAAATAATTAATTGATTATAAATGAAAATAATATTAATGAATGATTTTTAAAATTTCTCAAAAGCGCTGGAAGCCCTGTTAATGAGAACATTTACTGAGTCAGCTAGCGTCATGGAGGCAGCTATGAAATCAGCTCATTCAGCTGCTGAAGCTGTCAAAGAGCACACAGTTAAGCTGAAGGAAGCTCTTCAGGTCAGCTGTTTGTTATTCTGCATTAGTTGTTTTAATGTTTGAAGAGTTATTTTGCATAAATTAATAAAATTATGCATGATGATGTGATGATGAGTGAGAATGATGAGGATAATTATTCTAATGATGATATTGATGTTAATTATAATGGTATTTTCAGTAAGCATGTGATGCATTAAATATAATATAATTATAATTCAGAAAGTAGATGCAAAGGAGGGTGAATGGGAAGCCGTGACCAGGGCACACGATGCAAAGGTCAAGGCCATGCAACATTTTGAAGAGGTCAACGAAAAGGCCAAGTTAGTGATGATGGTTGGGAAGATGATTTTGCTGTGGCTATGATATTGTTGTTATTATTGTTGTTGGGAAGATGATTTTGTTGATGATTTGACAGCAAGGGTTGTCATGGTTTGACTTTTTTGCTCTTGTTGTTATTACAGACAGGAGCTAGCCAAACTACGTGAGGTGATTTCAACTGGCAAAAGCAACAAAGTGACCAAGAAGAATAAGCTGCTGTGGTCAACTGAAGATGAAGCCAACAAACTGAATAGAAGTTTCAACACTGCACTTAACGAGGTTTTTCTAAAATGGCTGAACAGTGGAATTCTGATGGATGGATGTATAATTTTAGTTTTTATAATATTTTTGACATTTTTTATGGAATGTATGAACAAAATGTTATCAAACCATATAAAACACGGCATTACTTACAATTTCACATGCACACACAAGGTCTCAAAAGCGGAGGCAGACTCCAAAGTTTTCAAAGAGTACAGAGACCTGATAAAGAAAGGAAAGGAACAGTTTAAGAAGGAGCTGGAATCAATCATGCCTGATGTCAAAAAAGCAACTAGTGAGTTGGCTTTGAGGCTCTGATAAGTTTTTTGTTTATTTTCATCACATGTCTCTGTTTCATTTCATAACCGTGAGCCAAAACTTAAATGGGCGTTAATTATGGGTTAAATTATTTTACAAATTATAACGAAATTTTTTTTCACTCATTCAGCAACAAATGCAATCAGTTAACTATTCAATCATAATATTAATCAGTCATTCGATCGATGACATTCAACCAACCAGCCAATCATCAATGATGTACAACTAACGACATTCCACCATCAGCATCAGTAGCCAAGTTGACGGAAGATGAATTGAACGCCCTGATAGCACACGCACACAAGAGAATCGACCAACTTCAGAGGCAGCTGGCCGAGCAGCAGGCTCTGGAACAGCTGCGAATCAACGAGGCACTCTCCAGGCAGCGAGAGGAGGATGCCGCCATCCTGCTGGTCTCCATCAATAAAGAGAAGGAGCTGTGGGATAATGAGATCAATCTCATCAAAGCTAAATGGGTCAGTGATCACTGCTTGTTAGAGTGTTGATGTTTTGCGTTGAGCAGATTGTTTCCTTTGATTGTTGGACTGCTCTTGCGTCTGTTGTTGTTGTTGCTCTGTAATTTTGTTGCAATACACCAATGAAGTAACAATCAGATAATGATTGATCATTAGGACATAGATGCCCGAGTGAACTTTGAGGAAGAGTTGAAGTTGCAGTTAACGAGGCAAGCAGCGGCTCACAGCGACCACATCAGTGAAGTCTTGAGAGCTCAACAGAGGGAGTTGGAAGCCAAGTTCTCTCTGATGCTCAGTGAACATGTGGAGAATGAAAGGAGAGAGTTTCAGAGGCAGGTGGCTGGCTGGGTGGCCAGACTGCATGGCATCGAAGATGCTATTGATAGTAAGTTATCTTGGTAGTAAGTTATCTTGGTGGATTGTTGCACGAGGAGTTGTTCTTATGTTGAGGCTGAATGCTGATAGTTGCACATACCCAATCAGTTTTATTTTCATCGTCATAGAAAGAGCCTCTCTCGAGAAGCAAGGTCACCAGGTTCAAAAACTGTGGCTGGCTTGTGAGTCCCTACAAACTGTCCTCAACACTGGCAAACTCGGTGCCACATCCTGGGAAGGTCGCCTGAAACCCCTGGCGGCAGATGTTGAACTTATCCGGTCAGCATCAACCGGCCAACCAGCTGTTGAGATCATCCTGGACAGCATCCCCGAGGTAGCTCTCAACAGGGGAGTGTGGACGGAAGCTGCCCTCATTGAGAGGTTCAAAAGAGTCTGCAAGATCAGCAAGCGAGTGGCAATGATTGACGAGACTACTGGCGTCAGTGGCAGTTTGTTCAAGTACGGACTGTCCTACCTGCAGTCCATGTTTGTAGTTACTGGGGTCGGCAGGATATACGATAGTTCCGATCTGGAAATCGACCCCGACGAAATCAAGGACACTTTTGTTCTGCTGGATAATGCACAGGTTGGTCAGGTTACACGTTGTTTGGCTGCAGTCATTTGGTCTCTTTGTTACAATATATCAATAAAATGGCATTCATTGGGACATAGGACATTTATTCATCAATAACTTTGCTCATTTCCTTCATTATTTGTTCTTCCTACCATATCATATCATTCATCTGTTCCCGCCATTGTTCAATATTGCACACACGCACACACACACACACACACACAGGCATGTCTAGACAGAGGTGATTTCGCCCAAGCAGTTCGTTTCGTCAACCACCTGTCCGGTGAAGCAAAAACGGCAGCTTCTGATTGGCTGGCCGAAGCGCGGTTGCTGTTGGAAACTAAGCAAGCAGCTGTCGCTCTCCTCGCAACTGCTTCAGCTGCTGGGTTCACTTCGATTGCTGGCTGCACGTGATTGGATAAGTGATTTTAAAAGGAATTGACGGCGCTGATTACTGATGTAATGCTTGAATTGGAGGCTGCCTGCTAGATGTTTGCTGTTTTTTTTGGTTGTCGGTAGGTGCAAGAAAGTTTTTTTTTCATTTCATTTCACTTGCACTACGAACTGTGATTGCACTGTTGAATGAAGGCTGGCTGGCTGGCTGTGTATGAACTTTTCATGATTGTGATCAGCATTTCTGTTAATATTATTATTATTTCTCATTGCTATTTTTATTATTGTTAATATTATTTTTTTGTTATTATTTGGTTAATAATATTCATTCATTTCAATTATTGTTGTTAGTTAAAATATATATTTTTACATATATTTTTTGTTTTACATCAAATTTAATCCAATGCCCTTAGCTTCGTAAAGATAATTTTCCCATTATTAGAAATGTAGTAGTTACTACTATTACTTCTACCTACTACTTTTACTACTACTACTATTGCTACTGCTACTACTACTACTACTACTACTACTACTACTACTACTACTACTACTATTACTACTATTATTGCTGCTACTGCTACTACTATAATATTCACTATGATAACATCATTATCATCATCGCTTTTGATAATTCTGATGATGATGGTGATAATTGTGATGATGTTTGTGATGGTGATGATGACCTGTTATATATATTATTTATTTATAACTCATGAGAAAGCTTCTAGAATGGTTTGTTATTGAGATTTCTAGGTTAGGTTTTTTTTGTTTCGTCAATTAATAATAATAATTATTATTATTGTTTGTTTTTTTGTTATGGCTGACTTATTTATTCATAATATAATACTTTAATTTATAATAATATAAATATTGCTATTATTAATGAATTATTATTAAATTATTATTTTAGTAATAAAATTGTTACATCTTCCCTTTAAGAACGCTTCGAAATAGAAAGTGTTAGAAAACATTAAAATTCCTGTTTACTTAGGCGTACATAAATTGTTTCAATTGATCGAGTTTATCAATGTACCGATGAATTCAATACTGAAATTGTAACATATTTCGTTTTTGGCGAAGTGAAAATAAAATAATACTTTCGTTAAATTCTGAGATTTTGTCTCAAACTGGATTTCTATTAAATGCGCACGTACGGATGTGACGTCACCTGCTGCTTGCGCCCAGATTAAATTGACGTCATTAATTCGACATTACAGTTTAACAATACGAGTATTGAACCCTTTAAACACACACATATGTGCTTTTTGATGTACATTGTACATTGATTGTTTTATCGACACACGTGTACATGCGTGTGTACAACACACCCACACAAAAAATGCACATAAAATTTAGTACTATAAACTTTCATAAAATTATTGTTATTCGCTAACATGTAATTTTTATATAGCTTTTATCTTACGTTGTTTCATGTAGGTAAGTAAAAACGCTTCTGAATAATCTCAGTGCGTGTTAACACGTACATTTGAGCGTGCATCCGAGTATTATGTTGTATTTTAAGCTAAGAAAATGTTTAAAGTCTCGATATTGTTGGAACTAACCCTGGTATGAATCAATCAAATACATCTGCCTGTCGTCTCGTCATACTTTCTCCCAGTAGGATTAGAAAGGAAGGCATTTAGATATTTTCTGTGTGCTACGTGGTGAGCCTCCAAGGTGCTACTGTTGTATGCATGTGTATGTTGGTTTGATAGTGAGAGTGGTGTTGTGACGTTGTGGGAATGTGTTCTTCCGTGCTGTTTGGTTAGCAACAAACGTTCGAAATCACGCGACCTTCTATATATTATCCAACAAGACGTGACGAAGAAAATGTTTATCAAATTTTTTGGCGGATCGATTGTAGCGAACCTCATATCGAAAATGAATGTTAACTTTGTTAATGTTTCATAAATTTATTACCACACACACACACACACACAAATGCGTGTGTGCGCGCAAACACACACACACATGCACGCACGTACACACCCATTTGTTTGAAGGTGTAAACAGGAAAAACAAGAAATTTTTTGATATGCCGAAGTATGCTTTTAATGAAGAAAAACAACAACTCTAACAAAACAAAGGACTAAATGGATGATTGAATGGATGAATGAATGAATGAACAAATTAGTGAGGAGTGAATGAATGAATGATTGAATGAACGAATGAATGAAAGTAAATGTATGAACGTTGATGATCAATTTGATGGAAACGTTTTGAACGAAGGAAGCTTACTCGCCTGGGTATTTTTGTTATGATTATTATTGTTGTCGTCGTCGCTGGTTTATTTTGTTGTTGTTTTGTTGTTGATTTATTCATTTATTGTCGTTGCTGACTCTAACGATGACGATAAGTTGTGGCGATAACAAATATAACGATGAAGATGATGATGCATTAACATAAGTTACAATGATAACAATGGGGAAGACGATGACGATGATGATGACAGCAATGTTGGTTGATGTCTACAATAACTATTCACACTGACATTAATCATCATAAAAAGCGTAAATTACGAAAACTTTGGGGACACCAATGCGATGACGACGACGATGAAGATGATGGTGATAATGATGAGTATATGGAACAAAGGTATTTCAATCATCCCATTATCTTTGATGTTTTATTAGCGATCGCTGGACATTAAATTAAAACTATTTCGTAAGACATCATAAATGTATATTGTCTGGTCTTGTTGTTTTGTGATTCTTGTTTGTTGTCGTCTTGTTTTTATTGTTTTTTATTCTTTTATATGTTGTTATTGTGATTATAAAATAATAAAATCGCCATAAAAAACCTTAACATATTTAAATTTTTAACAAAAAATAAATAACAACAGACAAAAAACAACAAAATATACATACAAACATACATAAATAAATTAGTGTTTGCATGTGTGCGTGTGTGCGTCGTGTGTATGTTTGTGTGTGTCGTGTGTGTGTGAGCGCATCTACAAAAAATACATCAAACAACACGCTGTTTCCGTCTTGTTTTACACAACAATTTGATCATCAGCACTTTGATCTCTGCAGAAATTAATTTATCGGCATTTAATTACTAAGAAGGCATGCTTTTTGTTCGTTGTAGACTTTTATTCACATACAAATGTGTGTTGTGTGTGTGTTGTGTGCATGTATGAATAGTTTATCTACACATGTCAATCAAATTGTATATCACCGCCCCTTTCTATGAATTCATTCATGCATCATTGAAATGTGTGTTGAAGCGATGAACGAACGAAAGTACCAATAAATAAAAAATGAATGAACGAATGAATGAATGCATGGTTGAATTAATGATTGAATGAATAAAATATGAATGAAAAAAGAATAGATAGATTAACAAAAAAATGGATGGCTTGTTTAAAACTTGTCTCGTCTCGAAAGTTGCTATGCTGCACTGGCTGCGGATTGGTTTAAAGGGTCTCTCTCTTTCTTTCTCTCTTTTCTCTTTCTTTCTCTCTTTTTTGAATATATATATATATATATATATATATATATATATACATATATATATATATATATATATATGTATATACGTATATACATATAAACATATAAAGCGGTCAACTCACACGCGCTATTGGGCACACGAATTCTTTACAAAGTGATTAAAACAACAATTGCTGAATGGCCAATGCTAACTTTATATTTAATGATAATTGGTTTATTTTTTTAAATAATTTTTTTCAACTGTTTAAAATTGTTTTTCAATTCAGTGCTGGTGAAAGAGAAATAGATACGGTTATAATTTGTTTGTGCAGTTTTGATAGTGATACTAAGTCATGTTACTGTCAACAAACATGTCTATGAATTGTTGTCGTCAATTTTTTTCGGTTAACACCTAATGGTTGATGTAAGCGATTTTTTTTAAATATTTCGTTAAAATGAAATGTTAGTTTATCGCTAGAAACATCTGTAACAATAAAAACAACAGTAGAAACAACAACCGAATCAACAAAAACAGCATCAACAACTACATTCTGAAACATTTTCTTCATTTAAAAACATAAACGATGTTGTTATAGCCTATGTTATCGTAATTAACAAAGACAGTAATAAAAGATTAATAACAAAAAACAGCACACACGTGTAAAAACAAACAAAACAAAACAAACAAACAATAAACAAACAAACAAACAAACAAAAACAAAGTTACACACACGCACCAGCATCTATCTAACGAATGGGCCAATGATTTATAAGACAACGACCATCGAAACACCATGACGACGACGGACACGCATGATTTGATGTCCAGCATGCATGGATGCAGTTTGTTGACAGGTGTCAAACAATTCTTCCACAACAATGTTGACAACATTTGTGACAACCTACTCAACAATAACAAATACGGCCTCGTTAACAAGGAGTTTAGTTATCTTTGCAACAGCAAAAACAACTGCGAACCCAAAATGAACAGCATTTTTAATATAGATAACACCAATTACATGAATTGCATAAACAATCCGAATAGCAACAATAACGCTATTGTCAACAGCATCAACAGTATCTCAGAAAGAGTTTCAAGTAAGCAAACTAGAACCAACAAGCAGGACCTCATTCCAACCTCTGGGTATAACTTAATCCCACCAAATAGACATGAAAACAATTACACCAATGATGTCATTTGCGATGGTATCGACGACGACGCCGTTGAAAATGTTTGTGGTGAAAATAATGACGTCATTGATGACGTCAGCAACATTCAATCTCCAAGCCATGCACACGTTTTCAACGTTAATTTTAAAGGGAATGGCAGCAACAATATAGCGAATATAGAGGCAACAAGCAGAAACAAAAACAACAACATAAACTACATCAACACAAACAACAACTTCAACACAAACAACAACATTAACACAAACAACAGCCTGCTGAATGGTTGGAACGGATTCAGCCCTTCGTATTCAAAAAGTGAAATTCCGTCAACTGCTGACGGTCCGACTAAATTGATAACTCCGCAGCAGCAGATGTTGAATCAATCAACTATTAACAAACTTTTCAATCGATTCCAATCACAAAACTCGCTTCAGTTATTTGGCAACACTTTCACTGACCAAATTTTTAGTAACAACTCTTTCAATAAGCAACCTGGTGCCAACGGGCCGAAGAATGGAGTTGAACCGATTGAAACGAATAACCGACCAATGCCTGTCCAATCTTATTTTTTCGGAGCTTCAAACACAGGCAGTGCCAACCAACATCTAGCATTCAAGTCTCCACCGGCTTACTTTTCCCTTCAAAATTTCAGGATGGAACGTGCCAGAGAGGAGAGTTGTGCATCTAACAACAGCCTCGCCAACCAGCAGCAAATAAACAATCATCATCTTCATCCTTACCCTCATCTGACCAACCATCATTTGAGCAATCTTCAACCGGCCAACAACTACCAGCCAGCCATCAGTAACCAGTTAGACCGCAACACAACCAGTTCCTCCTCATTTAAACGATTCAACTGCAGCAGACCAACATTCACTGGTAACCAAATTTTCGCGTTAGAGAAGGTCTTCGAACAGACAAAGTATCTGGCGGGGAATGAACGAACGAATCTGGCGTTGAGTCTTGGAATGAGTGAGAACCAGGTTAAGGTAGGTTCGGATTATAGAGTTTTATATAGCATTGAGTTTGTCAGCTTTTTTAAAAAATTGCCAACGAACAAATGCAAAACTTGAAAATGAAATAACATATTGGACATTTATGACGTGACAACTACATGTAGGAGTCAAAATGCGTAAACTTATAAAAACAACAAAATCTAAATAGAATCAGACAGCCAATTTATTTGTGCGGTCAAGCAATTTCTCTAGCAGCAAATTTTTTTGGCAGTAAGCAGCAATGATGAACATACAATGCCATTAATTTTCAAGTTATACGCTTTAAAGTCGCCAGTCCGTCTAACTTCAACGTTCGGTGCGTGACTGAGGTGCATGGCTACCAACTCGTGAGACAGTGAGACGCACTGAGACACATTGAGACGCAGTAGTTATTTACAAGTGCTGCACTGCATTGATCAACATCTGAGACACGATTGAAGTTTAAGAATTATAATTATTTTTACTATGCATAGTCATACAAACGTTAAAATATTTCATTCATACTGCTACCACCTAGCTGCAAATACAATCGCAAAATTTACATTGGCAGAGAGAAAGCTGTCGGCCGCGATTAGGTGTAGAAACGTTTAAACCAGTAGACAGGACGCACTTAAGAGATTAATAATCTTCTGACTGCCAACGAAGTTTATGATCAGTTGGATCCATACTATCTGGGCTCTCAGTTCTCATTCATTCGATCGTACACGCGTCCATTGAGCTAATTAAAATAGTTTGTTGGTGGTTGGTTGTTTGTTTGTGTGCTTTCAGGCAAAGTAAAACATCTCATTGAATGGAATATTCCGTTTAAAAGTGGTATGTGTGCTTTTCAGCGTTTAACAATTTTTTTATGTCTGCCTCCATTTTTTTCTGCATTTTAGATTTGGTTTCAAAATCGTCGAACGAAATGGCGGAAAAAGTCTCAACCAGACTCAACAACAACAACCGCCACGAGTACAACTATGACGTCAACAAAGAAAAAACAGCGATAAGAAAGTGTTTGAAGAATGTATTAAATTTATTAAAATCTTTTGGACTATATATTTATTGAATAGCTAAACTTATTAAAACAATAATAAAAACACCTTGTGTTTATTCCTTCTCACGCGGAGAATCTACTGTTTTTGAGAAAAAAACATAAAAGATCAAATAAATACACGTACACACACACACACACACCACACACACACACACACACACACACACACACACACACATTCAAACACACGTGCAAATACTTTGACACGCTTAAAGTAAACAGACGCACGGGAACTGAAACGAGCAAAGTTTGAGTGAATTCATTGTGTATTGAAATCAGTTTAGGCATCTTTAAGCCTAAAAATCATTTATTTAAAAATCAAATAATTCAATTTTTAACTTAAACTCACAATATTAATGACAAATAAATTAAAGAATTGTATAAAAAATTGTAAAAAAAACAAGCATAGTGAATAAAATATAAAAAACGAAGTTAAAATCAACCGACGAAAATTAAATTTTAAATGTGGCAAAACCAACATCAAGTAATTTATTACTCTAACTATTTTAGCTGAAAACCCTAATATAACTATTACTATCGTTTTACCACTACCAGTTTAACATTTCATTTTACCATTTTACTTAAACATAACCACCATACACAACAGTCACATATTAATAAACAACCTGCAATGTTACATTACAACCACCAAACGCTTAACTCTTGCACGCTTGGCTAACAATGATAAACACAAACAGAAATGTTGTCGTTGAAATCTTTTGCTGATGCTAAAATGAAATTTGAAATATCTCGAAATTTATACACCTCTATCATCTCTAACTTGTAACAGATTTAAAAAATTAATATAATATAATATAAGTATTATAAAAAATTGTATTTATATGTGGTCCAATTTTAAAAAACTTTTGTGGTGAACTGCGTCCACTAAGAGTATTGAAAGATAACAATAACGATAACGAAAATGTGGAAATTTTATTAACCGATACAATCAATGGATATAAACTTGTCTTAGAAAATTGAAAAAAAACATGGTATGCATTATTTCATTTCATTTTTTATGAATAAATTATAATTTCAACAAACAATTCTATGTATGAAAGTGGCAATAGAATATATTAAAGTTGAAATGAAAATTGAAATAGGTCTTTTCAAGAAGGCTCTTGATTGCATAGCAAAGAACTTTTGAAAATTATCAAACGTTTTCTGGTTACACACTTTTATAGGAACCAACCTTCAAAAACAGCTGCCTGAACCAGGGGTGGGCAAATTTTTGCTGTGAGGGCCGCATTAAGAACTACTTTACCTTTAAAGGCCTGCATATGTACTTAAATATAGCAAATTTTTTCGACCCAAGGAGAGAGTTTTTTTCAAGTTAACTTTCACCACCTCTGGCTTAAACGACTAACTCCTGAATATAGCATATTAGTAAACAATTAATTCGTTTACACACGGACATTAACTCACATACAAAAGACATTTTTAGAACATCGTCTAATTGATATCTTTTCTCTTCTTCTATTTAATTTCAACTTTTAATTTGTATTTATTATTGTTTAAAATTATTTAAATATTATTTTATCATTTGTTTATTTGATTAAGCATGAGCATGGGCCTGGCCTGCAACTCACGATTTTTTCTCCATTGAGTAAATCGCATGGCTTGGTGATAAGATGTTGATAATTAATTAACGACAAGATGATAATGAGCTGGTATAATACAATTTTTCGCGATTCAGATTTGATAAACTAAAGATATCTGAGAAATTAAAGTTTCCAGAAAATGGAAAATGCATATGGAAGCTTTCAACTCTATATTTTGTCTGCCTGTTTGACATTAGACTTTGCGGCTTGTCAAACAAATTTTAATCTGCCTTTTGTAAAATCACATTTCTTTTTGTAATTATTATTACAAACAAACCTGCAAACAAACATTTATACTAATATACAAACATACAAACAAGCGAACAAAAATTAATATTAGTATACAAACATACAGCTAAATATGTGTACAGAAAATTGTTAAACATACTAGCTTCAAATATACTTATATACAAACATGCAAACAAACACACATACATGCAGAAAACTGATAAACAAACATACTAACTTCCATTGAAAACTAGTCACACACAATACTAAGCCGGTTCAACTACAATCCAACGCTAGCGTTGGAAAAAACAAACACATCAAACTGAATTAAAACATATAAACACATATATACAAACACAAAAATACAAACAAGTGATGATGATGATGATGTTTAAAAGTTGATACAAATCCAATTTAGCTCAGCTCAAAGTCACAGGTCTGATTCTGCAACGAGCTACTCAAAATCAGAACAAAGAGCAACACAATTTTAAAGAAGATGACGAAGATAACAATGATAATGATGACGACGATGACGACGATGACGACGATGGCGGTGATGATGGTGGTGATTACAATGATGATGATGGTGAAGGCGTCAATGATGATAGGTGACGTGACAATGATGACGACAATAATGATAATCATGTGTTTATTTTTTAAAGTTTAAAATAATAATTAGAAGAACACACTCATCGTGCTGTCTATTAATATTAAGGTGGATTTTAATGTATAATACGTATATCAATGCATCCTTATGTATATACAAACATGTGTGTATGTCTGCGTATATGTGCGAGTGTGTGTGTGTGTGCATGCACGTGCACGTGTGTGTATGTATGTGTGTGTGTGCATGCGTGTGTTGGAGTTGCCTGTGTGTGCGTGCGTGCATGTGTGTTTGTGTGTGTGTGTGTGTGTGTGTGTGTGTGTGTGTGTGTGTGTGTGTGTGTGGTATGTATGTATATAAAAAGTGTCAAAGTTTGTTTCAATAAATTGTTTGGTTTTAAAAGGATATATAGATAGGTAGGTAGGACGTTGGCAGGATTGGCTAAGTTAAGATCCTTGTGAGACTAGGCTTAAGGGTTTTTAGGTTGAGTTTTTCTTTCAGAAGACTTTTGATAAGTTGGTATGTTTATTTTGTAATTCCGTTTAAAAATAAATTTGTTTTAATTTAATTTTTATGTAAAGGTTTCGTTGAAATGTTTGATTTATGTTTGAATAAATAATAAAATTAATTTTGGCAATTTCAAAGTAAAAAAAAATAATAATGTTAAAATTGGCAATTTTAAAGTAAAAATTTTCATCTCATTGTTCACAGAATAAAAAACAGTTTTCATTAAAGATTCCTACTGCTGTTATAGTCGCCACTTAAACAAACGAACCGACAATACAGACAGCCAAGTTACAATCTCTAAAAAACATACAATAACAACATTAACAAAAATAATAACAATAAAAACAACAACAACAAATAACAAAGCAGTCAATTCAACAAGACAACAACAGCCGTACACAACTTCAACTACAACAGCGACAATGAGCTCCCAAAGCGTTCAACAGAAGAAAAAAATTGCGATTGTCGGGGCTGGCTTGGTAAGTACAAAACTACACACCACACACTCACACACACACAGACACACATACACACCCACCACACATACACAAACACACATACACACACGCACGCACACACATATGCCTGCTCTCGCGGTGTTACGGGTACGAATTCAAAAAGATTTCTACCCATTTATTTTCGCAAGAAATGTTGAATGCGTTTTTTCAAACGCCTTACTAAAAATAAATTATTAGTTATAATAATATTAATAAAAATACATTAAGGCCATTATAAAGTCGTTAACAACTTAGTACATTGTGTTGTTAATTTGAGTAAATCGTTCGATGTCTGGCCAAAAGGAGATAAGATCTCTCAGATGTCACTACCGTACTTCATATTTATTATTATTGTTGTTGTTATTATTATTATTATTATTATAGTTGTTGTTGTTGCTGTTGTTGTTGTTATTATTATTTTTTTGTTTGTTATTTTTGTCTTTAATATAATAAATTAATTAATGATGTTTGTATCTCATATGAATGATCGATCGATCGATCGATCGAACGAATGAATGAATGAATAAATAAATAAATAAATTGATTGATTAATTAATAAGTAATATTAAAAATGAAATGTTAATAAATAAATAAATATAAGGGTTACAATGTTATTAACATTCGATCAAGGAAACATGTCAACATTCTCGAATTCTACTATGAAAATCGATATAACCATCGGAATTCATTTTGTAAACGAGAACATTTACTTATTTTTAAAATTAAAATGATTTTGTTAAAGTATTAGAAATAAATTCAGAGTAAAATATTCAACCTTACCTTATCAAATTTTTCGAATTTTTTTCATTTAAAATTAGGTTGGGGCACTGCAGGCATGCTTCATGGCAGAAAAGGGCTACCATGTAGAAGTCTATGAAATGAGAGATGGCTCGTTTTTTTGTTGTTTTCTAGACTATTTCTAGACCTTAAATATATTTTAATTTAAAATAAGCATGTTGTTCTATTGTTGTTGTTAATTTTTTGCTTATGATACGATGACTATAATAACTTATGAAAGTTAAGCTGCCTGGTGCACTGTTCAAAATCGTGCTACTTTTAAAGAAACTCTCCATCGCTTCATGTGTCTGGTTGTAAGAAGTTTGTACATTGATACAACTGAATGACTATTAGGAATTTATATATATTGTGAAATGTGGATATGATGTTGGAAGTTTTTTTTACAATTTTTTTTTACAAATTAAGTAAGAAAGAAAGGATTTGTAAGAAGTTCTACGATCTTTTTTTTATAAAAATGTTTGGGCAACAGAGTTCTAGAATGGCGTTATACCGAAAAGTGTTTGTTTCATCAATGTGTTAATGAAACAAATGATTGTTATTCTGTTATAAACGTCTTTATGTTAGTTGAGATAGAAAGAGAGACACAGAGAGAGAAGTAGAGGAAGATGGAAAGAGACATTGTCAATATTTTTAAACGTCATTTTAAAAGTTTTTAATTTAAGGTCGGATCTTATGTTAATAATTATGAAAAAGACATAAATTTTTCAAATATTACCACGTGTATAAAAGACAAAAAAAAAACAGAAAAAAAAGTTGAGTACCGCAAATGTTAAAGTTTTTTAACTTTTGCACCAATTTCGGGCGGTATTGCAAACTTGACAACGTCACTGACGACCTCGTTTTAAATGTCACAAATTATTATTACACTATTATTATTATGTTGTTGTAATTTTTATTATGTTATTATTATTATGTTATTATTATTATTATTATTATATTGTATATATAACAATTTATATATTATATAACAATTTAATAAACTCTGTGTTATCATCTTACTCAATATATTGCGATAGGAATAATGAATGAACCTTATTTTTATAATCCTCTATTTGTACTCATTTTTGTTGAGTGATGAGCAAATTAGACTAACAGCTTATTAATTTAAATACTTTATTATATTAAACATTATTTTATATCTATCTTTATATTCATTTTGTGGTATTTGATAAAATAAAAGTAGTGTTCCCATTATTATGTTATTATATCAACAACGGAAAACCTTTAGACTATTTTTATCTTATAAGAGGCACCGCAAGATATAACCATTTCAAAAATTTTCCAACAGTGCATCAGTGATGATCTTAATTTTGGACTACATTTGAAACTTCGAGAAGTTTCTCCTCAAAACTTTTTTGAAAAAAAAAATAAAAAAAATGTCTTAATTACGATAGGATATCAAAAATTACTCGAAATTCTTTTTTAAATTACACGATTACTGAAAATATCTATCCAAAATCTACTCCAGATATAAGAAAATCTGAGAAAGTTTTTGGGAGGAGTATCAATTTGGCCTTGTCATGCAGAGGGAAGGAGGCTTTGAGGATGGTTTGTTTGTGTAAAGAATCCACACAAAAATATTGTAACTATGTCATACGTGTGTGTGTGTGTTGTATATTTATGTATGTATGTATGTATGTATGTATGTATGCATGTATGTATGTATGTATGTATGTATGTATGTATGTATGTATGTATGTATGTATGTATGTATGTATGTATGTATGTATGTATGCATGTATGTATGTATGTATATGTATATGTGTAGTGTATGTATATGTGCTGTATACAATACAAAAAAAATTTTGAATATGTAAATTGTTTATAAATTAATTACAATATTATCACAATTATAAATTTGATTAAAATAAGCTTGGCCTTGAGGACGAGGTGACGAAGAATGGCATTGAAATGTTTGGCAGGATGGTACATGATTATAAAGGGGGCACCAAGTTCATCCCGTACGGGAAGGAAAATGAGGTGATGACGACGACGATGATGATGAAGATGATGATGAAGAAGATGATGAAGAAGATGATGATGAAAAAGATGATGATGAGTATAATGAAGAAGAAGATGGTGACAGTAGCAATGATGACGATGATTGTGATGTTAATGACGACGCCGATGATGATTATGGTAACGATGATGAAGATGATGATGATGACGACGATGATGATGATACTACTAATAATAATAATAAATAATAATAATAACATTCCCACCAACCAAAGGCAATTATGTCCATTGACAGACGGAAGTTCAACGAGTTATTGATTTCAGGTAGTTCAACCCAGGCAGACAGACACTTTACAATAATTATTTCTTTATATTAATTTTTAATTTTTAACCACACGTACACACACACACACACACACTCACATTATCACCGTAATCTCCATTATTATTAGTATTACAATGATGACGATAACAATGGCTATTATTATTGTTACTATTATTATTATCATTATTAATTAATAATAATTATTATCATCTTAGCGGCGGAAAGTTACAGCAGTGTCTACATCAACTACTGCCACAAACTGGTTGATTGTGCATTTGATAGGAGAGAGCTGACTTTTGAAAAGTAATAATAATCATAATTTCTTGTTTGTTGTTGTTGTTATTGCTGTTGTTGTTGTTGTAGTTGTTACAAATGACGTCATTTCATCTCCATAGATCTGAAACCAAAGAATTGAAAACTGTGAAATTTGATATCGTGATGGGATGTGATGGCGCCTACTCTAATCTTCGATTCAACATCATGAAGAATACCAAGTGGCTGTGGCTATATTTCAATCGCCAATCAACCAATCAATCAATCAATCAATCAATCAATCAATCAATCAATCAATCAATCAATCAATCAATCAATCAATCAATCAATCAATCAATCAATCAATCAATCAATCAATCAATCAATCAATCAATCAATCAATCAATCAATCAATCAATCAATCAATCAATCAATCAATCAATCAATCAATCAATCAACCAATCACTGCAACAATCACACACACACACCTCCAACAGACTACAATACAGTCAAGAATACATACCGGATAGATACATGGAACTTAGGATCCCGCCAAATGCCGATGGGAGTGTATGAAAGTTTATTTTACTTATCATAAATATCGTTTTATTATAATTATTATTTTATAACTATATTTTAAATCTCAATCAAATTACTAAATCAACCAACAAACTTAACAATTAACTTATTTATTCTAACAAATGACTGAGCAACCAACCAATTAACCGACCAACCAACCAACCAACCAACCATCCAATCATCCAATCATCCAACCAACCAACCAACAAAACACAGTTCATGATGCCAAAGAACTATCTCCACTTATGGCCTCGAACTACGTTCATGCTGATTGGTCTGCCAAATGTTCCGGACCACAGTTTTGTCATGACCCTATTCGCTCCCTACCAGATTTTTGAGTCGCTGGACAGCGATAGGAAAGTCATTGAATTTTTCAGAGCTAACTTCGTGGATGCTCTTGAGATGATGGGCGAGTGAGTTTGTGACTGTGTATGCGTGTTCGTGTGTGTGTGTGTGTGCGTGTGTGCGTGCGTGTGTGTGCGTGCGTGTGTGTGTGTGTGTGTGTGTGTGTATGTTTGTTGTGTTTTGTGTGTGTGTTTGTTGTGTGGATTTTTGGCGTATGCGTGGATGTATTATTATTTTCGTTTGCCTGCCAGTTTGTTTGTTTTTATATTTGTAGAAATAAATAAATAGTTATTATTTTAATTTGCTAGGGCTTTCGTGACAAATGCCTTCAGAACCTTACCTCCATTACCACTCGTTTCTGTGAAGGTAGATCGACGTACTAAGTCACAATTTTTCTTAAATTTTTTGAAAATTTATTCAATTTGAAATGATTCTACTTAATTTAATGTGTAAGAATAATATAAAAATAAGCCAGGCGATGTTTTAAACAATGGCTTGAAGATAGATTCTAAGATTGAAGATAGATCATAAGATTGAAGATAGATCATAAGATTGAAGATAGATCATAAGATTGAAGATAGATCATAAGATTGAAGATTGATTAAAAAGTTTGATAAAACTAGTATATGAGTTTTCAAACTTTTCCAAAAAAAAATTTTGAAAATGTGATGAAAAAAATTAATTAATCAATCAGTCAAGTTATAAAAATAATCGTTACTGTAATTACTGCAATTATTTCAATTATAATTAATAATAATGAAAATAAATAATAATAATTTTTAATTTTTTACTTTTAGTGCAAACCGTACAATCTGGAAGATTACGGAGTGCTGCTGGGTGATGCTGCCCATGCTATGGTGCCCTTCTATGGCCAGGGACTTAATTGCGTTAGTGGTTCATTTTGATTTTCCAATTTGTGTGTTTTCATGTTTGCTTTGCATCAGTTTGTTTGTTTGTATGTCTCGTTTTTTTTTTTGTTTTTTTGTATGTATGTTTTTGTGTGTGTCGTTTGTTTGTTTAGTATTGTATTTGTTTGTATGTCATTATGTGTTTCGTTCATTCGTTCGTTAGTTTTGTATTTGTTTGTATGTCTGTCTTTGTATGTTTTGTCTGTTTGTTAACCATGTGCCTAAATGTTTGCAGGGTTTTGAGGACTTGATTGTTTTCAACGAATTCATGGAGAAATACGATCACGACTTCAGTTAGTTTCTGAAGGAAATTTTTTTATTTATTGCCGAAAATAACTGCGAAATAAAATGATCTAAATAAATATTTTTCATTTTTTCACTCTAAATTATATCAAAAGGTGTATTTAAATTTAAAAAAATTCAACATCCGTTTAGAAAAAGTTCTCCCGGAATTTTCAGAGTATAGAAGCATTGATGCTCAGGCTATGAACGACCTGGCAATGCGTAATTACAAAGAGGTTTACATTTCATGCCCATATATAGGGTACACACAAAAACCATACACAAGTTTGCGTACATTTCATACAAAACGTATGCGTACGTTTTCAGAAACACACAGACACAAATAAAACGTATATAAGACATCTCTATATGTAAAAAATCATTCAAAATTTACATTATTTTTTTTATTAATTGTAATAATGATATGAATAATTGGGATATTATTGTTTTCATCAGATGAAAGCCGATGTGAACTCCAGATTGTTCATACTGAGAAAAAAGTTGGATAACATTCTTTATTGGATGCTTCCAAAAACATGGGTTCCTCTCTATACATCGGTTCGTTTGTATGTTCGTTCGTTCGTTAGTTTGTGTGTATTTCGTTTGTGTGTTTGATTGTTCGTTCGTTTGTGTGTTCGTGCGTTTGATTAATTTAAATCTGAAAAGATTTATTTTTACGAGAAAACACTAGCTCCATCAAAAAGAATAAACTGCCAAATACAACGTAACATTTTTTTTCATCTGTCGTAAAATTTCAAACTAAGCCATTCTTCTGGGTCAGGTTTTCTGTGAGAGCCAACCAACCATTCACATCATATAGATACCGAGAATGAGATATCATAGAGATATCATATAGATACCGAGAATGAGATATCATATAGAGATATCATATAGATACCGAGAATGAGATATCATATAGAGATATCATATAGATACCGAGAAAACTTTTTCATTTACATGCATTCTAGGTCTCTTTCTCGAGGATCAGGTATCACCAATGCATGGCGAATCGGGATTGGCAGGATAAAGTAGGCCTATTATTTTATTTAATTCTTTACCGTTTCTTTGTCCACTCATTTATATCTTTGTTTATCTACATCTTCAATTTTGATATTGTTTGTTCAATCATGTATTATTAACATTTTCACCCTAACTTTTCATTTCAATATCTCAATAGTCATTTTATTTATTTATTATAAAACATTGAACTTTCGTTGATGAATGTGTTAACTTGCATATAAGTGCAAGTTAACACATTCGCACGCTCTATTGGACAACTGTGATTTTAAATTAAATTGACAAAATTTTACAAAATGTTATTACTAATTATTAAAAGATAAAATAAATTTTCAATTTTAGGTAATAAATAGAGCAGTAGTAACTTTACTATGTTGTACAATGGCTGGCCTAACATACCTAGGATTCAATATGGGCTATTTCGCGAAATTGAACAGCCGCCTAGCTCCTTGGTGTTCTCGTGTTACCGAAATGATAAATTTTAAATGAATTTATTTGTTATCTAATAAAAGTTTAATATATTGAAATGAAAAATGATTTTATTTCATTGAGGATCAATGATAAAATTGCTTAATTAGCAAGCTTGTTGCCGACAGAAATTTAATTTATTCAAAGCAATACTATTGAAATTGGTAAATTCTAATATTGCTAAAGTATTATTATTATTGCTGTGACATGATTTATTTTTTTATTCTTAAACTTTTTAATAATTGCTATCAGAAGAGTGATTTCTTTATGCTAGATATATTGAATAAATGAATGCTTTTTCGAAAAAACTGCATACTGAAATATTCTTTTTTTAAATGTAGTATTTACAATTCATCGATATAGTACGGTATCAGCACAAATTGACAAATTAGCGAAAATTATACTCTAAAAATCGCATATAAAATAACCAGCATAACGTTATTAAGTGAAAGCTTTTTCTAATAGAAAATTAAACCCGCTGTCATATTCTGTTAAATAATTAAAATATTGTTGTAAACTTTAACGCTCGTTACTATCGACACCGATATCATAACGTTAATGATTTTTATATTTCCAACGCCAGTGTTGTAGCTTCCAACTATCGTCAAGTGTTCGTTACTCCGTAGGTTCAAGATTTCCGATAGATGAACACAACTGCTTCAAACGCGAACTTTGTTGAACGTTTATTCGAATACCAACAGTAATAGAAACAGTAAACTAATCCAAGTAACCGCATAAATCACATTTACGACTTCTCTTCAAACCTCGCTATTGGCTTCGCTATTCACAAGTCCTTATATAGCCTCTACAATAGATGTTTACAATCCTCTGTGGTATGAAAAGTTTCTATGGTTTACAATCAATGACAAATAGCGAAAATAAAAAGTACAACAGGATATCAATCATTGATTATATAGGGTAATTTGATCATTCCTGCTATAAAACAATATATATTTGATTGGACGTTTAACAAATTAGAACCTTATAAAAACTGTCGATGATTGAATATTTTATAAGGTTTATAATTGTTGAAAGAACTTGATTGATGTATAAATCGACTAAAAAAGTGTATGCATACTAATTATATACAAAGCTGATATGTATAAACTAATATGAACAAATCATGTGTAATTAAATTTAGTTAAGTAAATTAATAAAACGAATAAAATTGATTCGTGAAAGACAACTGCCATAGAACAAGAACATGCACTTTATGGACTGTCGGTGTTGAGCGCTACGCAAGTAATAATAATTTTGACGTGTAGGAAGTCGACTTTTTTATTAAAATTTATTTTTTCTTAAATAATTCATTTTTCCTCTTTGTAAGTGATTGGTTTAGTTTCTATTTATTAAATGTCTGCCATTTTTTTAAATTTTTACGGATTGTTGATCTGGTAAAATTCAGCCTAGCGATATACTGGCAAACATTGCCAGACTTTTATTTTACCACTACTAGACTAGAACTAGAGGCACAACAATGCAATGCTAAAAATTGTATTGTATTGTTTATTATTGTATCTGAACTGAAAGAAATATAAATTAGTGATTAGTTCTTGGGGAAATTATGATTTATCACTGAATGGATGATTTCTAATTAGGCAACATTAAGGCCCTACAGACACCACTAGATAACATTGTTTTTTTTTCCATTTTGATGTTGATCTGCTCTGCTGATGTTCTGTTTTTGCTTAGCTGCCTGTGATGAATGATTTTATTTTAGTTATTTAATATTTATTTGTTTTTTAATCATTTCAGGTACATAAAATGGTAAATTCATCTTAGTCATCCACAAAACAAATAATAAAAATTGAAAAAATAATTCTAATCAAATCAATTTAATAATATTAATTTATCAAAATGGTGCTTTCTCAGAGACAAAAAGAGGAACTGTGAGTATTTGTTTGTGTAATTTAATTTCAACTTTATTTTAATATTAATTTTGGTTAAGTTGGTTTCTGGCCAAATAATTTCGTTTTGTTCTTTTTTAAATTTAATATTGCAATATGGTATATAAATAAAGCACTAAGCGTCTATAAATTTTTTATACAAAAGTTTTATTAATTATTAATTTTATTTTTATATTTAAAAAGTGCAATAATTTTAAAATTCAAGGAATAAAGCTGTAGCTGATTACTTGAGTTCAAATGGATATTCTAACACACTTGCTGAATTTCAGAAAGAAGCACAGCTGGTTAGTGTTAGTCCTTAAGTAAGAAAAATATTTTTCCACTCATCTTGTAATATGTGAGATGACATCAGTGTAATAGTTACTTATGAAGTAATCTGTAATTGTTTTAAATTTGTAAAATCAGTCAGGTGACGTTGAGAATAAGTTTGCTGGATTATTAGAAAAAAAATGGACATCTGTTATACGACTCCAAAAAAAAGTAGGCCAATCTGTATCCTTCCTTTTTTTAAATTAAATTTCCATTATCTACTTAAATTTATATAATATTCTGTCTATATAAGATTGATTTCCTTTTCAGACAGACATTGTTTTAAAGCTTTTTTATCATTTTTTTATTTTTCAGGTTGTGGACCTTGAGGCTCGACTGGCTGAGACTGAAAAAGAAATTCAAGTTGGCGTTCCAGGTCGGGATCGCCAGAACCCTTCGGACTGGATCCCTCGACCTCCTGAAAAGTATTCACTAACTGGGCACCGAGGCTCCGTAACTCGTGTGGTCTTCCATCCCGTATTTAATATCATTGTCTCTGCTAGCGAAGATGCCACCATTAAGGTTCTCAGCTATTTTTTAATCCAAATTTTCTTTTTTGATCTTTTCACTTTTTCAATTTTTTGTCATCATTGTTTTGACTTTTTTTTCTAATGAAGCATATCAACATTGAATATAATCTATCCATTTTTATTCTCTATTTATTTCCATAAAGTTGAGTTTTGCTAGACTTTTTTCATTATGAAGTGCTGTGAATTATGTCTGTTTGCCTAGGTTTGGGACTATGAGACAGGTGATTATGAAAGAACTTTGAAAGGTCACACAGACTCTGTACAGGATCTAGCATTTGATCACAGCGGAAAGTGGCTGGGTTGGATATCAATTTTATACTTCACTAAAAACTTATTCAATTGAAGTTACAATTACATTTTCATTCATACACTGTTAGATGCTAGTGATAAAATATTGTATAATGTAGTATTGAGTCCTATTAATTAAGAGGAAATTGTTTCACGACTACTGATATAGCAATGAAGAAAGCAGCATAAAGTATAATATTATTTATTGCCTGGTTTGTTCTATCTGTGTCTCTCTCTCTCCTGCATTACACCTACTGTTTCCACACTACTCTAAATCATTCAATCATTTTCTACTGATTGAAAGTTTAAGTGCTGCCAGTTTATTCATATCTACTCTACTCTTTTTTTGTCAATCTTAAACCCTAGAGCTATTGAATTATTTTTTTTTTATTATACCATTTTGATTTTTTGCTGTTGAAATAGTTAATACGGGTAGTTGTTTTAAAAATTTTGTTGGTTTCTATTGTGTTTATAACTTTTTCAAATTAGCACTAACTAGATCTGTTGTTTAATTTTTTTATTTAGTTATAATTTGATCTAATATATGAATGATTAATGTACTCTTGAAGTTTCTTGCTCTGCCGATATGACCATCAAACTGTGGGATTTTCAAGGCTATGAGTGCATCAAAACGATGAGAGGTTTGTCATTTTCTCTTAAAAATTGTTTTTGTTTCTGCAATTTTTTTAAATAAATATTTTAACTGTTATATTAATATTTTTATACCATTGTTTTGTTATCAATGGAGTTTTCTTATTATCAAATTAACACTTTAATTATGACCTTAGTTTTTGCTTTGAATTTGTTATCAATGGAGTTTTCTTATTATCAAATTAACACTTTAATTATGACCTTAGTTTTTGCAAGGCTTAGATAACAATTGAATGTAAGTAGCATTGTGTTGTTATATTTGAATTTGTGCTTGACGAATATACATACAAACATACACGCGCACACACTTATATGCATACAGATGTATACATACAAACACACACACACACACATACATACATACATACCTAGGTTGTAGGTATGTATGTATTGTATTATAATTTTAAAACAATCATTTAATTGAGAGGACTGGATAAGGAAAAAGAATTGATGATTTAGACATGTTTGTAATAGCATCTGTTTCTCTGTTATACATTCTCACATTATTTATTTTGATGAAAATTATTTTGGTGTTGGTGGTGGTGGGTTGTTGTTGTTGGCGGAGTGGTGGTGTGGTTGTTGGTGGGGTGGTGGTGTTATGTTTTGTTTGTTTATGCCATTTTGTTAATTTCATAGCTGGTATTGTTGCATAAATAACATTATAAATGTAATTATTATTATTTATTTGTTATTGTTTAAACTGCTATCAATATTATTGCTATGTGCATAACTTTTCCATGCACACACATGCATGCATGCATGTATCATACTTACTCTGCTGACTAATTCCCTTATGATGATATAGGTTGAAATGGGAACTTTATTATTTTAACATTATGCACATACATACACGCACGCACGCTCGTACACACACACACACGCATGTACACACTGCATTGCATTGCGTTGCAATGCTTTCATCAAAGAATGCACTTGGGAAGTTTTTGCCAAAGTAGCAATGAGGTCTATTTATAATGTTGATAAAGATACATTTTGTTTGATTGTACCATCATGTTATCATATTAATCATTAGCATAAATGGTACATAAACATTCTGTAGTATCATTTTATGTAATGATGGCTACTGCTAGCATTAGGGATTAAATACATGAGTATTTTGTGATATCATTTTATTAAATTATCTTTAGCCAGTTATTACGCCAAATATTGCTTCCTCCATTATCATTAACCATTTAATTATCCGTATAACTTGATTTAAGCTGTCATATTAGTTGTATAAGTAAGGAAAATGTTAATAATTTTTCTCCCTCTCTCTCGCTCCTTTCTCTTTCTTTTCTCTTTCTTTTTTCAATTCTAAATCCTGGACACGCTTGCACATACGCACAACACAAACGTGCGCGCACACACACATGTACAAACAGACGCACATACACACACACACACACACACACACAGGACATGACCACAATGTTTCAAGTGCAACATTCACACCAAATGGCGACTTCATTGTGTCATCTTCCAGGGACAAGTCTATAAAAATATGGGAGGTAGCTACAGGGTTAGTTGGAAAGACAGATTCATTTTACTTTCATTAAAACTTCCAATAATATATTTCTCTCTCTCTTCTTCTTTCTCTCCCTCCCTATCTCTCTCTCTCTCTCTCTCTCTCTCTCTCTCTCTCTCTTCTTTCGCGTGTCTGTTGTTTGTTAGTTTCTGTGATTTAAGATTTATTTGTGTATGTATGTGTGTGTTTTAAGGGGCTTCATTCAATCATGAACATATACATGCACACACACCCACAAACACACACATACACATGCATACACAGATATTGTATAAAGACGTTGACTGGCCATAGAGAGTGGGTACGTATGATTCGTGTCAGTCCGGATGGTACAATGCTGGCAAGCTGTTCAAACGACCAGTCAGTTCGTATCTGGGTCATCTCGACTGGAGACGTGAAGGCCGAGATGAGAGAGCATGACCACGTTGTCGAATGCATTGCCTGGGCACCTGATAACTCCTTCCCATTCATATGTGAAGCTGCTAATATTGATGTTAGTTGCCAGTTTGTTTGTTTGTTTGTTTGTTCGTTTGTCCGTGTGTGTGTTTGAGTGTTTTAATATAACACACACGCGCACATATACATACACATAGATCAAGAAGATCCAGAAACCAGGACCGTATGTTATATCTGGATCAAGGGATAAGACCATCAAAATATGGGACATCAGCTGTGAAATGTGTCTCTTCACTCTGGTTTGCTATAATTTAACTGTATCTATTTTGTATCAATTATCATGTATCTATTTTGTATCAATTATCATGTATCAATTTTATGTCAAACTGTATCAATTATTGTATGATAATTATTTATTCATTTTTAATTTTAACAATTAATCTGTTGGGCAAAATTTTTGATGGTTGGGGTTTGTTGTAAAATTAATTTTCTCATAGAAAGATTTCAGGAACATTTTAAATTGAGAAAAAAAACTTGAAGATAATATTGCCTGACCTTACCCGCCATAGGCTGGCCACGATAACTGGGTGAGGGGGCTGTTGTTCCACCCCTCTGGCAAGTACATCATCAGCGTCGGTGATGACAAGACTCTGAGAGTCTGGGACATAAAGAACAGACGCAACAACAAGACTCTAGATGCACATCAACATTTTGTCACCTCTCTTGGTCAGTTTGTTTCGTATAAGATTTCATAGCGATATTTAGGCTTTTGAAAAATGACAGACATTCAATTTTTATTTCAAAAATTGACATCCAAGTTTAAAAGACTTTTTTTAAATTTTGTCTTTAAAAAAATGTAACTCGACACCAACATACATTCATGTACTACACGCTCAACTACATATCTAACCGGCCAAATACACTGCAACACACATAGAAATATGTGCACATACACAACAACGTACACAGTATAAACAATTGTGTACTCTTTCAGATTTTCATCGCTCGACCCCGTACGTCATCACGGGCAGTGTAGATCAAACTGTTAAAGTCTGGCAATGTCGCTAAATGGAAGGATGGGATGGATAGATCGATGGATGGATGGATGGATCGGCAGATGGATGAATGATGAATGAATACACAGATAGATGGATGGATGAATGCACGGATGGATGAATGCACAGTTAGATTGATGGTTTTCAGAAAGATGGGTGAAAAGATGAGTGGACGATGGTTGTACATCGAGTTATAATCTGCTATACATCATTTTTATATTTGTATGCAAGATGTAACTAACGTTGATGGTGTTGAGGATGATGAAGATGATGAAGATGATGATGGTGGAGGTAATGGTGACAGCGGAGTTCATTTCGTCATTTCGCTTTTCGTATCGTAAAATATCCAATGACAATAATAATAATAATAATTAGCTGAAAAAAAAACGTCAAGCACTTTTTCCTCTATACTACCGAGAAATCTGCAGAACCAGATTTTTTTTTCTGGGAGGGAGCAACTTGAAGAAGGTGTGACGCGATTTTTTTTTCACTTTGAAAAAAAAAACAAACATCTGTTTTGGATGACGACGATGATGATGATGACAATAAAAAGGATGGTTATGACGTCATCGTCTAGGTAAATAATACCTGTATGTGTATTAAGATTAGGCCTATAAGTTAATGTATATATCTATATATAAATATATATATATATAACTGAACGATTAGTACTTTATTATGATCATTTTTAATATCTAATTGAATTATTTATATTATTATTATTACTACTTATTTTACTAGCTAATACTACAACAACAATACCGTTTATTAATACTACAACTGCTACTACTATAGTTTGCTTGTTGTCACTCAGTGTTACTATTGTTGTTATTGTTATTATTATTATTATATTTCTCATTATTATTCCTGTTTTTGTTTATAAAAAAAGAGAGGTTAGTTCCGACGTATCTTAAGCATTTTTTGAAACTTCTCGTCAATTTTACTTATTATTATTATTATGGTTGTTGTTGTTAATACTATTTGTGTTGTTGTGTCAGTGCCACTGTCTTCTCCAATCTTTAACAATAGTGACAGCAACAAAAATACATCAATAACATTACTGTCGTGATTGCATAATCACACACGTTCACACCTATACACACACATACATACACACTCTTGTTTACATTACACACACGCACACACACACACGTGTTAATGTATACAAATACAAGTTATCACACATAAATACATGCTATTTGCATTTGTATATATAAGTGAATAATAAATGTTAGTGTGTGTGTGTGTGTGCGTATGAATGTATGTGTGTGTTTGTGCGTATGAATATATGTGTGTGTGTGTGTGTGTGTAATTTGTGAGAGAGAGTTAGTAAACTCATTCAAATTTAATCAAGTATTATCTCTGTTGTTAATCTATCTCTCTCTTTCTCTCTCTTCTCTCTCTCTCTCTCTCTCTCTCTCTCTCTCTCTTTCTCTCTCTCTATTTAGCTTTTAATAAAAAGTAACCAACAAATAATTTTACTAATATTCTATAATCGTAACAATAAATAATAATAAGGTTATACGCTTGTTGATGGTCTCTATATTAATATTATTATTATTTCAATTATATATAGTTGTTTACTGTTGTGTTTTATTGCTATATGGTTTAATCTGGTTGACAGATGATTGCTTTGAATTCATTTAATTATATCCGTAATCGATCAATTAATTTTAATTAATTCAATTATGTTAATATGTGTTCAATAAGTGTTTTCGAATAAAATGTATAAATAAGTACATTGTTTAATTGAATTAAATATCTATGTGAAAATTCTGTTAACTTGTGTTTTTTTGATATTATTTTAATCTTTATTTAATAATATAATTGATCAGTTAATCAATTAAATATTTAATTAATTAATTAGTTAATTAACTGATTGATTAATTGGTTTTTTATTTATGTTGCTTCAAGTTTTTGCTTCTTAAAATGTCTAGGTTAACCAACGTTTCTCAATTTTGAAACTTCGTATGTTCATTGTTTTTTTGTTACATTTTTTCGGATAGCTATTTCGCGTCAGTCTGTGTACGTATGTGTGTGTGTGTGTGTGCGTGTGTGTGTGTCTTTATGCGTCTGTGAAAATGTGTGTGTGTTGAAGAGTTGTGTCGTCTGTGATGATGTGACTATGTATAGGGTCAAAATTTATCATCACTTCATCATTTTTTTTATAACTTGGTTAATAAAATTTCTGCCGATGTGAAATCCACAAAATTTTTCTTTTTTTTCTGGTATATGTTTGTGTGCGTGTGTTTGTGCTTGTGTATGTATGTATTTTCTCTATCATATTTATCTATCTATCCATCTATCTATTCATCCATCTATCTATCTATCTATCTATCTATCTATCCATCCATCCATCTATCCTTATCTGTCAATCAGTCAGTAAGCATAAGTTTGTCGTATGCCAGCTTTGTGTGAGATGTCATCATTGGGATCGATATATAACTAGGCCACTATTGCAACTCCATTGTACGTAAGTGCTCCACTGCTAATTATATTATTATTGATTCTCCTTCACTCACGCAAAACATGCAACGGAAGATATGCGTGCACGCTTTAATGTGTACGTATACCTAACGTCTTTGATTGACTTAACTACCTGTACAGATTGCGTGCAATGATGAGTGAGTATGTCTTGTTTTTTTACTTACGCAAAATGCAAATAGGTGAATGAACTTGGGTATATGACGGTACGTGCTTATTCTGTATATTACTTAGTAGTAGTAACTGTAGATTTTTGAAGTATTACGTAACATTAAACGGATTTGTTTTCATTTATTTCCAAGCATAAAAGAACAACATACGTACGTATGGGATGTGCATGTAAGTGTACAAATAAGTGTACAACATATATCTTAATAGACATTGCTTGATTTTCTGTATATTTGCTGGCGGTTAGTTAGGGTTCTATGTTTAAAAAAATCTATCTATAAAGTATGTAGTGATTGAAGATGATTGATGTTTTCTGCTAGTGGCAGAGCTCTGAAAAAAGAATCAAATCTAATCTCATGTTACTGAATGGTCGAATTTCTACTTTTCCAAAAGTTGAATGTTAGTAATGCTGATTAATTTGATGATAACAATAATAATAATAAAGCTTATTATTGTTATAATTATAAAGGTTATAATAATAAATAAGCAAGGATATAAAGGTTACTTAAATCATACGTCAGTATAAGATTAATACAAGTTGACACAGTTGATGTATTTTTTTTCAATCTTCATCTCGTAAATTCATTGTACAATTTTCGTGAACAACTAACACTTGTGTAAGTAATTATATATACATGTACCTACCGTATATGTCCCTTTTTACTATAATATAACAAAATATTTGACGTGTTTAATGCTTCCCACGTTGCTATATACAGCTTTATGTGTTTTTGTATTTGATATAATATATTTATATTATATATATCTATGTATGTATGTATGTATGTATGTATGTCTCTATAAATAATAAATCGTTACTTGCGTATATTCATAATATAATTCAATCATACGTTTTTCTTATATATATATATTATTTATTTATTAAAAAATCTTTGTTGTTTAAATTTCTCAAAATTGACTGACTGACTGATCCATCTGATAATCATTGGCTCTAGAGTTCAAATTAGATGGCTGATAAGTAGATACATAGATAGTTAAGTTGATTGATTGATAGATAGATAGATGGCTGTTTAATGATACTACTAAATGTTTGTTCTCGATAAGACAGCTCTAGAGTTCAAATAAGATGGTTTATATGTAGATAGATAGCTAAATAGATAGATTGACTGATAGATTGTTTAATGATACTACTAAGTGTCTATTCTTGATAAGACAGAGATCTTCAAACTTCTAGAAATTTGTAAAAAAATGTCGTCTCAATTATTTATCGCTAATATATAATTAGCGATATATTGTTAAAAATCGCTAGTCTTAATAACCAGCACATTAAGTTTTAGTAGGGGTAGAGCTGTGTTTTTGGCTTTGTTTTTCATTTATAGAATAAGTATAATATACAATAATTTAAGGTAATAATAATATTTTATGTTACGTTAGTTTAATTTAATATCAATTGCCAATCTCTTTTCTTGTTAATCATGATTTTTTTTTTTAAGTTTTTTGTAATAAGAGAAAAAAACTTTCTTATCTTCTCTTGGAATTTCGATATAGACAGAGTGAGTTAGTTTTTTTTGTAATAGAAATAAAACCAAAAGTGAAAATTGTGGATGGACCATCAAGTTGAGTTTTTGGTTGATATTTGGGAAGATTTTTTGAAGGTAGTTGAGAGTGTTGGAGTAGGAGGACTTCGTTAGACTGCAAGAGAAGATAAATTGTTTAATAAGTTTATGTGTTTATTATTCTGTGTTTAGTTAATAACTTTTTTTAATTATTACTGTTTATTTTATTATTTATTTTTATTCTGATTTGTCATTATTTAAAAATAGCACGTTGGAATTGTGACGTTTATTTATTTATTTATTTATCATCGTAAATTTTTTATTTATATATCTCATTAAAATTTATATATAAAACTAAAGAAGGTTGAAGTTACTTTAAGGCATTGCAACTGATCACTTACGACGGTTATGGTGGAATGATTATATGGTAAAACGTACAGAGTATTTATATATATATATATATATATATATATATATATAATATATATATAGTGCAGGTCTTATGTTGATTCTTCTTTGATTTATAAATTCTTTTTCATTTCCTCTTCGTACAAAATCGATTTCTGTGTAAATAAATTTATTGAAAATTGCTGGCTGACTCTGTTCTATCTCATTTGTAATGTGCCGGTATCGTTTGTGTTAAGTTTTTCTGTAAGGTCGGGCTTTATATTTGTTTTAATTTTTTGAAGTTGAGATAAACGAAAAAAATAATTTAAAGTGGGTAAAACACGGTTCATTATTTATAAATTTTAAGTATGAATATTAAACATTAAAGGGAGTTAGGATTAACTTTGGTTATTGTTCAATTGAGAATGTAGTTAAAGGATTTTATTAATGACAAAACAACATAATGAGATTCGGGTATGCTGTACATTACAATGATGGCGAATGAATTGTTAGGTAAACTTTAAAAATAATATTCGTTGATAAGGCACTGAAAATGTCTAAACATTAAAACTAACAAAACGTTGTTAAAAGTTTTAAAAGAAGAAAAAAAAACACATGAAAAATTGTTGTCACGGTCGCCTAAAATCCAATGCCTGCAGCTACACAGGTTAAAAAATGAATTGAAAGCATTTTAAAATATGTATGGCCGTGTTTCTTTTAGTTTGTGTGTGTATGTATGTATGTGTGTGTCTGTGAGTGAGTGTGTGTGTAGTGTTTGTGGTGGTATGTGTGTCTGTGTGTGTGTGTTAATACTGTACAATTAAAAGCACATCGTTTGTTACGGAACAGAAAAATATAACAAAGGAAGATGAAATATTACTAACAACAAGTGTTGCAAATTTTCTTAGAAATGAATAAAAAAATAATGAAAAAATGTAATACTTCGATATTGTTTTTTGTAACTGTAAAATGTTATTTGTTAAATATGAGATAAAATTTAAAAAAATCATTCAAATTAATTTCAACAACTTATTATCCAGCTGCTAATTTTGATGGCGAATAAACCTTTTTTGAAAGTTATAAAAATGCCTTATTAAAAAGATTGTAGAGTCAAACAAATCAGAAACGGCTAGTTCAAAATGATGAATGATAACTTTAACAATAGGTACAAAACTCTATAGCAATAACAAATGAATAGTAATAATTATAAACAGTATTAAACACGATGATGATGGTGACACAAAGTTCAGTTAGCATTTTGAAACGTGCTGTTGGACATTATTTATTTATCACAGATGTTTGAAAGTCCTAGTAACGCGGTTTGAAAATCTATTGCTCTATGTTCAAATTCACTTAATAATCTAGGAACCTTGTATATAAAACAACAACAACAATATTTATAAATAACAATATGTATATAACACTAACGAATAAAATTAATGGACGTCGATAATAACAACATGTGATCAAGATCAAGAAACATTACATCGTATAAATGTTGAAATAAACTATTGGCCATTACCATGAAAATAAATGTCTAGATGAATAAACAGAAAATTTTCATGGAAGCGCCGCTCTATGTCACATCTTACTACCGTTTTTCCCTCCCAACGTCAACATCAATCACTCTCTTATTTCAATAATCTCGTTCACTCTGTCCAATATCAATCGTGCCAGCTCAACTGAGTTTTCTGCCATAGTTTCGTTGTACTCGTCGTGCGGTATGACCACAAAATCAATCGGCTCGGGGTTGTATAACTTGTTCGAGTTGCCGACGATATTCTGCAGCTTCATCGCAAAATCTTTGAGGTCCAAGTCTTCCAAGGTGGCAGCCAGAGCCATCAAATCGTGACTGAAACTTGTGCTGGCGTCCACAAAAAACTGAGCTGCTTTTAAAGACTTCTCTGCGGCCTGAAATGTGAAAATCCAGCAACTTATATTAGAAATTTACTATAGTTGACTAATTTTTAAGATTAGTTCCTAACTAAAGTTTGAAACATTTTGGAAACATAATAAGTAAGAAAACAGGTTTTATGATTATTACCTGATGAGCTTTGAAGCACACCCACTCGTAAGCTGGATTTTCAGTTGCTTTGAAATCATTGTCGGCAGCTTTGAGGTCTTCGTGAGCCTGTCTGAGAAATCTTTTGGCTTGTGCAGGTTGCGGATTGGCACTGGCGAATGTCGGAGGAACTCCAAAGTTGAAAGATCGATTGCCTGGACTGTATTCCCTCGTGAAATTTTCTCTGTAACGTTCACGCTGCTCTTTATGTTCTTTTGCGCGTCTGTTCATCTGCTCGAAGAAAAACTTGTACGCATCGTAAAAGTTCTGCTGAAACGACGAATCACCAGAAAATGGATTTCTAGGATCTGGTCGATGTTGAGTGGCGAATTCATTATAGTTTTTCGCCCTAGACAAACCCAGTTCTAATCTTTCAATCTCAGCTTGAATGTGTTGAGTTACCGTTGTTGCAAATTTTTCGTTACCGATATTTTTGTCTGGATGCCATTTCAACAGCAGCCTAAAAATTTAAATGTATGATAAGTAAAAAAGCTTGAATTATTTTCAAATAAAAAATAATTTAAAAACCTTTTGATAACTTTTTTTCTTTGTCCTTCAGGTAGGTGCCAAGCCTCTTCGAGTAAACAAGACACATCATTTCTTATCTCTTCCTCCTTCTGGTTTTCCAGATCGTTATCTGTATCATCTCCATCTTCGATGTCGTGATTTTGTGTGCCTTCTGAAGTGTCTTCAGATGAATTTTTATCAGAGTCTGCAGAGTTTGTCGTTTCAATATTTATATCCGGCGAAGAAAAAACATCATCGAAATCCTGAAACAGTTTTTTCTTTGTGGTTTTTATTAGTTTCTTTCGTTCTTTTTGTGAAGATTTCGAATCAACGAGAACGAGAGCGTTCGATGTTGATGTTAACGGAGTTGGCCTCAAACAATCATTTATGGGCTCAAAAACTGCTGCAGAATCTGGACCGAATCTTGGACTACGACTTCTTGAAATTTTTTGAGATTGATTCGACTCGCTGTTCCCAGATGATCTACTGACGTAGCGATCAACGCGATGAAATTTGTACAAATCAGCCGCCGATACTTCCATGGGTTCTCGATCGTCTCCAACGTTTACTAAATATTTTTGAGAAAGCAAATTTCGTGAACTGTCGTACCTCTTTCTGGATGTGCTGCTTACTTCAGAGGAGGAAGTGCGATAAGTTGAACGTCTTGATGAAGAAAAAAGTTTTGGTTGAACTTTCTCAACAATTATTGCGTAAACAATGATAGCCTCGCCGGTTAGTTCATCATCGATTTCATACCCCACGTACTCACCGATATCAAATTCTTCAAAGTCTTCTTTCAAGAGATGGTGGTCTTCGATGGGAATGAACGATCCAGCTACAGGAAGTGTTGATGTGAAAAGATCGTTGTTATTTTTACGATCCGGTCTTATTTTTAAGCGATCGAGAACTTTCGATATTGCATGTGGAGGACATGACAGCATCGGTTGAATGTAATGAATCGAATGTTTCAACAGACCGCCAGTAATTTTATCAACAACTTCTGCCACGCAAACTTGAAGTTCTTCTTCCAATTTAACCAACTTGTTAATGTACAACTCCCAGACAACTGAACCCGTGGTGGAATCAATCTTTTTATTTACAAAACATTGGGTTTCAGTTTCGCTTTCTTCAATTTTTAGGCCTTCTTTCGACAAATAGGTCTCAACAACGTCAACACCGTACACTTGCACGTCTTTCAACTGCTGCTGAATAGAGTCGAAAACAGATTGTTTTATTCTGTGGCCCGTTTTGCGATGTTCATGTTTAATGAGTCTAGCAAGGCCTAACGCAAATGCTTTAGAGTTCAATTGATATCTAAGCTTATCTGCAACGGCATGTAAACTTCTAGTCTGGCACAATTGATCGCTGAGGTTTTCTTGTACGATAGACGTCAACATTTTTGGACTGAGATGTGGCGGTAGAATTTTAATCATTTCAACGTGATTATCCACTGACAGTTTACATTCGGTCAAGTCTATTAAGAAAGGGCAATTTAAATTTTTCACTCTTTCCGTCCAAGCAGGTTCGTCATTGTAGATCAACTCTTGTGAATGATACAAGTATCCATCTTCTGATGGTAAGTATAAATCTTGTATTTGAACCAAATTATTATCAGATGAATTTTTATGCCTGAAAAGTGTGTTAAAAAAACCAAAAACTGCTTTCAACACCGCTCTTAATTCGTTCGGATGAAGTTTTTCATTTTTTGTTGAGTAGTAGAGACTTTCCAGGACGGTTGCGTACTGAATTTCGTTTGCCGTGTTTGTCGCTCCCAGGTGTAGAAATAGTTTTTTAAATTCCCCAAGTTCTGTTGGAGCTTTGCATAAATAAGGTACTATTTGGTCCCCTTCATATATTTCCATGACAATTTGCCTTGGACGAACAAATCTTTGCCCCATATCAGAAACTATACATGGAAGGTCAGCCAGCTGCAAAATTTTATTATTCACTTCTTCGCTGTTAGTGTCGTCGTTCAACAATACATTTTGTAAGTAGCTGTATATTTTTTTAAAAATATCGATCCTCATGTACGCCTTGAATTCACGATTTTCATCGGAACTTTGCATTGACAGAACGTTGTTATTGCAGAGGTTTTGAAGGTGCTCGATAACTGAATCAATTGAAGGATATTCAGGTACGTTCAACGTGCTGCCGACTAATTTTTTAAGAACTGAAGCCTCTTCAGACAATTTGGAATCGACTCCAGAAACGTCTCTTCCAATTATTTTGTAAGGATTAGCCCAGTCGGGCAGCAGAAAGGCACTTGACCAAGTTAATGCTTCATGTTGTTCCGGAATGCCTTCTTGGAAAGAAATAAATTTATGAGAGCCTTCTGCAGTTGTGAAAATTCCGTGAGACGGATAAATTTTTCGGTAAATGGGCTTACCTCTAGCTACCGGTATGAATTTTATAGATTTTATAGTTTCTAAAAATGTCACATCGGCTATAAATGTTGACGAAAATAAATTTGAAATGAGCGTCCTAGATTTTTCAAAAGTTTTTTCTGTTTGATGAGACAAAGCTTCCTCCTCAATTTCGCATGCAAACTTGTAAAATAAATCTGGAGTTATGGAGCATTGCATACCTATGAGTTTCATGAAATCCAACCATTTATACTCATTGAAAGGCGTCGGTGGGAAAGCCTCCGTTGAATCATGAAACATTATTTTGAATACCGAGTTTCTTGGGTCATAGTAATCTGCAGCTTTTTTAAATTCCGAATCAATCGTACCATCAGTAATAAATTCTAAACTTTTTAAAGATTCAATTAGTTCGTTTCTGTCTGGATTCAATTCATCGATTAAAATTTTGTCTTTGAGGAACTGAATGTGACTTAGCCAGTTGTCGGTGTCAATAAAATGAAAGTTTTGTAAAACAAAATTAAGATATAACGACGTAGGTGTTATAGGCTTGCAATCTAAGACTTCGTACATCTCGTTGAAAACAGGATTGCACTGCAAAAAGATAACTTGGTCGTTATGCTTCCAGCTATCAAGGTTGAATTGAGGAACCTCCATCTGGAGAATGTAGACTTTGTAATCAGATAAGGAAGTTATAAGACCTTGCGTTGTGATGTGGATGGGTAATTTTCTCAGCAAGTTCACCGAATTAAACTCCTCTCTCCATATTTCGATAGAGTCTGAAAAATATTTCAACAACACTAAACAATCTTGCAATACCAGTTCAGCTCTGTTGAACGCTAAAGCATGAGTGATAGCAATTAAAACTGAAGATGGATCTTCCAAACTGGAAATTAAATTTTTAACAAAGGAAAGCACGGTTTCATTTTTAGCGTCAAATACGTCATTATCGATTTCTGGTACATGCAACTTTCTTAAACAAACTTTAACTGCTGAACTGATTATGCTAGTTTTTGTATAATCTAAAACAACTTTAGAATTTTTTATTGAAAACAGAAGATTTTTTGGCAAATTTTTATTGTTGTCAGATGTCGTTTTCAAGCAGACAGGTAGCAGGCACCAATCCTCAATTGGCCTCAGTTTAGAGGTAATTTTCTCTTTCTTGTCAATATTTTCAAATTCATTTGCTAAATAATTCCAAACTTTATTTAGCCAATTTTTTGAAAACAGGCCATCATCGAGCGTCAAATCCCTGGCTACATAACTTTCGTAAACATTTTTTTCATCACTTGCTGACAAATAAAGAAATTTTGAAAAAGAAGCTATGTCCAGATTAAGAAAAATACTGCTTCTTGTTTCATTTCTGAATGTTTGTAACATTTTTGTTAACGATTTGTCTATAAATTGATCCCCTAATTTTGGAAATAAATCAGAAAAGTCTGAATAATACACGGGATTTTTAGAGCTAAAAACGCGAAGATAATCATCCGAAGTTAAAAGAAAAGGCAATCCTTCTAAATTGGCAAAAAAATAATTGTTATCTATGAAACAATACTGTAATATAATTGATAACTCGTTGTTACTAACAAATGGAGTTTTGGATATAGGTTTAGGAAGTTTGTCTAAATTGCATTTTGTGAAGTGAGGTGCACATATGTGGAAGTAATTTATTACTGATTTTGGATTAATGCGTTCTACGTCTATATTTGACTCCACGAAACATTTATGTAAAGTCATTGGTAAAGACAATAAAGGATAGTTAACGTTTAACAACACGTGTCTTAAAATTTCATGCTTTTTTAATGATTTTTCATTAATTCTATATTGATTCTTTAAAGATGTTTTGTTCCCGTCATGTTCATCAACAAATGTAACATCAAGATCGTCAAATACCGCCTTCACATGATCATTTGAAAGAACTGTGGTCCATTTGATCGCATACGTTTCGTCTTCTACCATTTCGTTGTTGTCGTTTATGTACGCGTGATTGTTTCTGTTGAATATGGGTAGTACGCTCACTTTCTCGTCTGCTATTTTGCGGAAAACATTCGTAGCACAGCGCCTCCAGTAGGCGGTTGTGTCGTCGTTGAAAACTGGGAAAAGATTGACGTATGATTGTAAATCCACTGAAGAAACGTAACTAAAATCATCTTCCTGGGAAAAATCTTGTTTGCAGTTATAAAACACCGAGACATATGTTGTTAAATTTTCTAAAAGACTTACGTATGCATCTGCTATGACATTTTCAAAAAGAAAAATGTTCCATTCAGTTTTTAAACTAGTTTCTTGATCGTCGTACCATAAGTTACGTCTGGCTTCGTAATCGACCGCAAAATGTCCGTTTATGTTCACTTGAAATTCTGACTTAACAGGCAACGGAAGAAAACAGTATAATTTTTTGGAACGTTTTCTTGAAGTTTTGATGTCATTACCGTCTACGATAGCAGCCACTCCACCCCTAGGCATCAACATGAGTTCTTTCCGGTTGAATCCTTCCAAAATTTTTTCAGAAACTTCTACTGAATGTTGCCAGCCTAAACTCTGTGTCACCAGCCAACTTTCCCATAAGCCTTTATTATCCGTCAGCTTAACCATATAGGTGATCGTTGAATTTTTCATTTGCGACATTCTTCCAGACTTTATAAGTTGCGACCCAATTTTTATTTTCTCTGCGAAATTTTTTTTCTGTTTTTCATCGTACTCGTTCAAACTAGATGTTACTTTAACGATCGTATTTAGTTTTCCCGTTACTCGTTCAACTTCGCACAACGTTACACTTTTAATATTATTGAGAAAGAGCATGCAATCGTTGAGCTCCATTGAAAATTTTTGGAATAATGAATCAATCATGTCCATTGTTACAACCTTTTCTGAAATTTCTGATGTTCTAACCATTTCTTCATTTCTCAGCGGTAGCCTAAACATCGTTCCATTGTTTAAATCGAATTTATCACCAAGATAGCAATCGAATACATCAGTGAAAATTGGTTTGAGTTGTTGAACGTTTTGAAACCTGCGACCGGGCTCCTGCAAAGTTGAATCAGGAACATATCTTGCGTGGGGATCAAAAATGCAAAGCGTTTCTGGGACTTGAGGATCTTTTGTTAAAAACGAAGGAGCGTCGGTTAAATGATAAACGCAGTTGAAACCGACTCCATATTGTCCAGTTTTGTTTGGATCATCTCTCTTGCTTCCTTCTCCTAACTTTTGAATTGCTTCCAAATCTTCTTCAGAAAACCCTTTATTATTGTAAATACAAAGAGCTGGTCCTTGAAGGGGTTGCCAAGATTTGTCGAAAATTCTTTCCGTGCCATGATAACGGTTATCTTTAATGAAACAAATTTCTGTAGCACCAGCATCGTCGGCGTTTTGAAGCATCTCTTTTAAAATTTCTTTGTCGCATGGATACCCAGATAAAATTCTACGAATTCTGTTTGTTAGTTTTTCCCTTTGGCCAAATGGTATGCCCTTAGAATGTTTTTTCAGCACTTCTTGACGATTCGTATTAACTCCTAATTGTTTTGAAATTGTGAACGGAATAAGAGGATGGGAGTAAAACAAGGCCTCGTTCTTCGGCAGCCATTTACATTCTGGTTCGTTGTAACAAAGGTCGGAAGCAGATTTCAAACGGTCGGATGAATCAGGTATGTAAATTGTTCCGTGGACGGCAACTACGTCTTGCAACGATGAACGTTCCTCCGTCATGCAGTCATTCAAATTGTTAACAATCTGTAAAGCTATCTTTAAATTTGATTTGTCCAAAGGTTCGGCTCCTAAATTTTCGTGCATCTTTTGAAGAGCTTTAACATAATCCGAAGATTGAAAGTGATCCTTAACACCTGCGGCTTTCATCAGTTCATAATAATTTCTTTTCAACTGGTCAGGAAGACTAAACAAATACGGAGAACAGTTTAAACTTTGAAAGTTGAAAGATATTTTTTCAGGCGTCAAAAACTTTTCTTGAATTAGTATAAATGGCTTTCCGCGTAGTTTGTCGATGATGCTCATTTTTGCATTTGATGTGGACTGTAATATTTTTTTCTGGAGAAAATCATAGATTTTAAAGCAGACGTTATGAACGGATTCGTACGATTTAGGTTTTGAAGATAAATCTTCAATAGGATGGCCCGTGATAACTACTAACTGTTCGATAACGTCATCAACCGATGGTTCGCACAAGAATGGAGTCAACAGCAGAAATTCTTGCACTTTTTCTCCATTCGATCCAGTTGGAAACAAACTGATGTCAATAACAGGTCTGACGCAGCATATCAAGTCAGAATATTCAGGAGGATAAGCATCGTCGGGTCTGAAAAGTGTTACTGAATCAAAATCTTCTCCTTTCCAATGCAGAGGATAATTTTTTGGCTTTTTCAATAACGGTAAGAAGGCAATGTTGACGAATTTTTCTTGATACGACATCAATAATGATTTTTTGAAAACCGTAGACGATTCATTCAATTCCAATAACATTCCAATGGAGGCAAGTAAAGCTTGCACCAAGTTTCGAATTGTTTTCTCATCAGCCTCTAAAATTGAAATTGCCTCGGCTCGTTCTAACAAATCATCCCAGGTTATGTGCTCAATTTTATGCTTCATTCCTATTGATACTAACAAGTTTAATACGTCAGGATTGTCGTAAGCACTCTTGCTGACTGGAAACCTGCCGTCAGATTCTATGTACATTTTTGCAAAAAACGAATGCCGGTCAACGAGCTGATTGATGCATTTCATAACTTTTCCGTCCGGAGAAACTGGAATGCAATTATTATTTGCTATAAGGCTGTTCAACTGTGCATCTTGGCACGATAATGCGTGTAGAACCAAATCATCTCTATCACGCGAGTTTACATCCAAAATATGTGGGAAAAATATTTTTTCGAAAAATTTTACTATATCATAACTGTTTGTAAAGGTTGTTGAAAAAATTTCAGAAGCTTCCAGCGCTTTTTCTATCCAATTTGGAAAATAAGCCACGACCGTTTGATTTTGAGTTTTTTGTTTGGTAAGTTCTTTAAATACTTTATACGCAGTTTTTCCTATTTCTAATGAAGAAAAAGAAAAATCTAAGAAGAGAGAGTTTTTAAAACTAGACCAAATTTCTCCGTCCGAAACAAGCGAAAATTGCTCATTTTTTACTATTTCTTTGTAAAAAGCTTTCATTAGAAACTCTGTATATGATGTTGTGAATGTCGGATTTGGCCAAAGCAAAAAAAATTCATAACTGTTTTCCGGTTTAAAAAGTTGAACTAAATCGTTCAACAGCCTCAAATATACAGAGCACACTGCATCTTCCATGAGTAATTTGTTCCAAACAGGTCTTAAATCAAACTTGTCATCCTCATTTTGCTGGCATAAAAATTTACGATTGGAAGTGACGGCAAATGCTCCATTTATATGAACTGGCAGGCCAGAGCGCAATGGAAGAGGCATAAAAGTGAATATTAAGCCGTGATGACATAAGTTTTTTTGATTTGTAGTTACAACTGGAATGGGAACATATCCGGTTTCGTCGTCGCCATGAATTTGTGCAGCTGCTGAAACGCATGATGACAGCGTTTCATCTTGAATCGCCATTTTCAACGATTCTCCGATTCCTACGTAGTGACACACTAACCACTTTTGAGAAAGATTTGTCGGTTTGGAAAATTTTGCATCAAAAAATATTTCGCTATGAGCAGAGTTAGAAAAATGACTATCTAAAGCAATAATTAATGATGAATCCAAACTATTTGTATCTTCTAATTTTGAACCGTTTTTTAATTTTCGAATAATTTCAGCGCTGACTTTTAACGACTGACAATTTTTTTGTAAATTTGAATAATTTTTCTTACTTAAATTCTGTTCATTTTTAAAATTCAGTAAAGGCATTTCACGTATAATTTTGATTAACTTTTTTTCCATGGAAAATATTTCAACAATATCGGTTCCGACGTTACATTTTTTGCCCAAATGATATATACTGATTTTGCAAATGTTTTGAGAGAATAACAAAAGAGTATCGCAGGATGTTATGAGCAGCTTTAACAGTTCTTTAACCTCTTTATCGTCGTAATGCTTTGAGGAAATTTCACTTCTTGAAGCCTGTAAGCGCGTCCGCAATGGAAAACGAAAAAGCGTTCCGTTGTATGATTCGAGTTGCGAGCCAGGATTGAGATTGCAATTGAAAATCCCGTTGTAGGGTCTGAACTGGTTCCCGAACCGTTTCAAATTGCGTTTGTGGCGTCGCAGATCGATGCGTATTCCAGGCTTTCGTTTGTCCTTAATGCTTTTGCCCAAATGGTAAGTATGTGGATCGAAGATAACAACATTGTGACGACTAACGAAACTTGGAACGTCAGTAATGTTGTACACAGCATTGAAACCTAAACCAAATTTTCCAATTTTTTCCGGTTGACCAAGTTTTGTAGCTCCATTCAATTTAGTTATATTTTCAAAATCTGAATCTTCGAAAACGGCATTGTTATGCACCCAAAGAGCGGGTCCTTGGCATTCTTTCATTCCTTCGTCTAAGAGGCATGATCTGTCATCCTCGTTTTCCCTTTCATCATATAAAAATGAAATCTGCAAAAATTAAATTTTTTATTAAAACTGCAAAATATATTGATTAGTTTAATTAATTTTTTAAGCGTTTACTTCCGTTGCTCCAGCATCGTCGGCATTTTGAACTAATTCCTTAGGCACTGCAAATCCATCAGCATATTCCAACAGCAAACTGTTGAGGCGATGAGTTAAGGAATCAGACTGACCAAAACTTATATCTAGCTCTTCTGCATCCAACATTCGCGACATTAATGTAGGCACGCCCAGAGCTTCTGAAGTACTAGATGGAACATTTGGGTGAACCAACGAAACTTCGTTAGTTTCACTATCATTATCCATTTCAAAATCAGCTGAACTGTAACCTGAAAATATTTTACATTAAAAATTATATTTGTTAAAATTTATTATTGAAAACTAAAAACCTTGTCTAAGCCATTCTTCATCACAGAATGTACAATCAGATAAAAGAGCCATCTTCAAAACTTTAGATCCTTCATTATGAACTGGTAAATACAAATTTCGTTTGAATTCCTCTAACATGGCGATTTTCTTTTCTTCATCTTCACAGCTTTGCAGAGAAGATTTCAGTTCGTTTAAAATACTAACGCACATATGAAGATCTTTTCGGACTTCGGATGAACTATACTGAGTGTTACTTGTCTCTTGAATTGATTCTAGTGCCGAATTATGTTTAAGGTAAATAAGTTTCATGACTTCAACCAGATCACAATTATTTTTCAAGTTTGCTGTTTTTGATAGAAATTCAGTGTGTAAGCTCAACTCAACCGGTAAACTATGAATGAAAGGTCGTAAATCCATGAAAGGTGCTGAAAATACTACCCTAGTATCTGGAGAAAATCCATCACCATTCCATATCCACTGTGGCGGTACGTTTTGTTTGTTTAATTCTTTTTTTACTAAATCTGAATCATATTTAGATAATTCTGTATATATACTTTTAATCATTTCAACGTACGACAATTTATCATGACTAGTGTATGAAGAAATAACGGTTTTCAAATGTTCTACTAAAATATTCAAATCTGGTTCTTTATCTAAACTGAGAGCTTTTTCTAACGTCATTGATAAATCTGACTCGGCAACACTTAAAACTGAGCCAGCCAGCAAAGAATATTTTTTAGAAATCATGTTTTCAGGCTTCTCAAATTTGAAAAACAAATTTGACTGTTCTGTCTTTGAACCATGCCATGGTAAACATTTAGGATAGAAAGATGGTTTTTCCGTCAATGTGAATATCCATTTTATTGATGTTAACAGATCAGCTAGTTTTTGTTCTTCTGCACCGCATTCCTCATTTAATTTCGATGGGTTTTTATGCAAAAAATCAATTATAGCTAGCGATTTATCTTTAAGCATTTCTAAAGTTGTTTTTTCTTGAAAGTTTCCCAAAAAGCTGTTAACTTCGGCTCCGCTGTTGATTTTTGACCACACGTCAATCATCTCTGCGGCTTCCTTTATATCTTCCGCTTCAACACTGTTCACACCACGTAAACCTATTTCTCTGAGGACGGAAAGTACGTTGGGCACTGAATACTCAGTGTCTGGAAATCGCTTTTCAAATCGAAACAACTTTTTCAACAATTCTTGCTCTGGGTCGTAGTAATGCGAAACAGGAACGTACAAATCGTTGCTCTCCATGAAGGGGAGCGATTTTAACACTTTTTTTAAACTCGCCGTCTCGTTACTAGAAAGTCTGTAATAAATTTATAGATAAATTAAATCTGTAAATTAAATGTAGAAGATTAAAAATTTCATATTAAAATTGTTCGTACGACGTGTACCTGTGAAAACTTTTGAGAATATGCAACATCACTTCTTTAACTTGTTCTTTCTCGTAAAAAGCATTTTCTATATCTCGAAACACAACTTGTTCGAGTAATTCTGAATAGTTCAGCTGTCGCACGCCCAACAAATTTCCCAACGCTTGAGAGTTTATATCAGACAAATCGAGCAGAGGACTTGATAAAGGAAATTCAATTTTTTCAAAAGGCGCGGCCAATCTGCATTCATTAACCGAAACAAATTTTATTTGGCTACCGACCATGACCGTTTCGAACAAAGGTAGATCAGATAATAATGCGTGATACACGCTTTGTAATTCGTAAGTTGAAAATTTTGCGAACAACATTCTGAGATACCTTTTTTCTTCCTCCGTCGTGTCATATCGTATTCGATCAATTAAATTGTATCGACCGATATTTTCTGCTATTTTACAAAAAGCTTTTAACACCCCAATGTAACTCGGTAAAAATATGTAATTTCTTGTTACAAGGCTGTGATTTTCTATATATTCTGGCAACTCATCGACGATGGTCAGGCCAATTTTTTCAGCTATTTTTTCAATAGATCCACCTAAATTCAGCCCTTCAAACGATTTCATTATGCGCACGGTTAAATTTTTCACGTCAAATAATGGTATCAATTCGATAGTTTTAACTCCTGATTCAGAATAAAATGATTTTTTTGGCAAAATCGGTAATTTTTCAACCATGCTCAAATCAGTTGGAGAGTGTTGCACTAGGAAATTCCACATTAATTCCAACCAACTTTCGTTAGGAAAACCTGGTTCTTCAGGCATCCACTGAATTGCTTCTGATGTTAAACCAATTTTGCTCCGTAATTTGGCTGGAAAACATCTTGGTATCAACTCGCCTAATACGTTAACGTCAATAATTTTCAACTGGGTGATACCTGTAATGAAAATATGTTGTCTTTAAATTTTTAATATTTTTAAACATATGAAGTGAACTTTTAAAAATATAAAAAACCTCTTGATGCTGCTTTTGTTAGAGCCTTCTGAATTTCTTCATCTAGATTCATAGCTAGCAATTCTTTATCCGCTCCTGGTACTATTTTAAGAACTTCATGATCAAGCGCTATATAAATAGGCCGGTCGGCTTTTTTGGGATTGTAGTAAAATGTGTGAAACGATCCATCTGCCAAAGGCAACAAATCCAACCCGTCGAGTGCGTCAAACTTGTTCGCAAGAGCAAAGTATTTCAACAGTTCTAACTTTTGGCCGCTGGTTAACCGACTCAACATGTCTGATGTATTTTTTGAGCGTTGCAATGATCTGCAAGCATTCGCAACTAAAGATGGACTCGTTTCAATAACATTCATGAGACGACTATTTTTTATAACTTTTAATAGATGCGGTGGAGCGTTGACAACTCTGACAGAACCTTCCAAAAGAATTTTGATCAGAATTTTTGTTAGGTCAGTTTTCATATCCAAAGTGTTGAAAACTGCCAACCTAGGCTCAATCCATCTGCCTCCGTCTGCTGCTGTTTTCACAATTGGACATTTCAATAAATCCGAGTACACGGAATAAACTAGATTTTCCCATTTTCTGTCAATTTTGTCTAAACTGGGAAAAGCCCTGTATATCATTTCTTCTGTGATGGAAAAATTAATTTCATGTACATCGTGACCATTACAAGTTCCGTTGGTGATTGCCGTTGAAGAATTCAACTTGATAGCTTCCAGTATTAAATGGGCGTAGCACCGTGGAAGAGCCTCTCTCAACAGGCACTGGTTCCACAAAACTCTCTTATCTACGAACTCCTCCCCATAATTTCTGCTTGAAAATGCGTCTAACCATTTGATGTGTTTTCGATTCTGTTCAAGAGCAAAAAATCCATTAACGTGTACAGGCAGTCCTGAGGTGTAACCCTGTTCGAGAGTGAGAGGTATGAAGCAAAAAATCCTCCCATCTTCTGGTGACATTTCGTAGAAGTCCCTATCACATTTGTCGGGATCCAACAAGGGCATAGCCATGCCGACCCAGGGTAGGTAGTTCAGGTCGGTGTCGCGGTGCAGTTTGTTGAATGTTGCCGACAGCTGCCCACAGCAATGATATTGAGTGACTAGATATTTGTATTGAGATATAACAACTTTTCCTTCGGAGTTATTGATGTAATCTTTTGTTTCTACAGCTAATTTATAGGTTGCCGTAATTGCCTTTTCGGTGATATTTTTCAGTTGGGTCTTTTTTAAAAAATCTAATCTTTTTTGTCTGACGTCTTCAAGACAAAATTTAGGAATAGATATGGAAAATATTAATTTTGGCTCTTTGGTCATTCTATCTCTATCGTAAATTTCTACGCTTTCAAGATATTTTAAAAAAATAGGCAGCAAGTGTGCGTCAGATGTGAAACTATCGATAAGGGCATTCATCTTGTCATGGCTGTATGGTACTTTGGAAAGGTGGGAAGGCATCTGGAGAATAGTTTAAAAAATTTTATAAAAAAGTTTAATTGAATAAACTAAAAACAACTATCAATGTTTAAATTAATTATTCAATGAAATAAGTAAAAGAAAAGTTATCTTATAATAGGAACCTGCCTAAGTGGAAATCTGAACAATGTGCCGTTGTAAAAACCGTTTTGGAAAGTGTTTTCATTGCAGTTGAAAATTCCTAAGTATGGTTCGATTTGATGCTTCATGGTTTCGAGGAGTTCTGGATGTTTCTGAAGATTCCAAGCGTGACTGGATGTGTCGAACAACGTTTGGTGGGGGTCGATGAAGGCCAATTTGTTTCCGCTAAGGACGCTCGGCAGGTCTGGATCGGTTTGGTTGTTTTTTAATTTTTTTTAATTTTATAAATTAAAACAATCTTTTGTGTTATTTTTGTGTTTTAATATAGAATTTTTATTTAAAAAAAAATGAACATTTTATATAAAAATAACTCAGCATGATTTTTCAACGAGCATCGTGAGTTCGATATAATTTAAAAAAGTATAGCAAAACATCTGTCTACCTGTGAGATGAAAAACGGATTTGAATCCCATGCCGAAGTATCCCACTTTGAAAGGATCATTTTGTTTGACACTCTGCGACAGCATCCGCAGTCCTTTCCAATCATCTTCGTCAAAGAGGCCGCTGTTGTATGCGTATAATGCCGGGCCCTGGCCACCAAATTTCGTTCAAATAAATTCCATTCAAATTGAATTACTTTGAAAATTGAATTTTTGAAATAATAATATTTTGAATAGTAAAAATTTAAATTAAATAATATATAGCTATTATTGTTGGTGAATAAATAGATAACTAATTAACTGGTTAATTTTAACAAATTTTGTTTGATCTGCCAGAGGGCAGACGTATTTTCAAAAACTGAATTTATCGTCCATATTATCTTTCTCTGTTTTTTCTCTCTCTTATTTCTCTCTCTCTCTCTTTCTCTCTCTCTCTCTCTCTCTCTTTTCTCATGTCGCACACCACGACAACAGAACATCATGTAATGTAAAATTAACGCAAAAATGCAACAGCAATTGTTTGTAAAGTTGCCAACAAACTCTGCCTAACTAACTAAAAACAGAAAATGTTTTGGCTGATAAAAAAATCATTTACTGAAACAAAAAAATTTGGGAAAACGTTCAACATATGTTAGATAACGTTCTATTAATCAGATCTAAAAAATCGTTTCAATATTTCCTGACTAAAAGTAAAGCAAAACAAATATCTGAGACTTAATTATAGTCTTATAATTAATTGAATGCGCTACTACTTACTAATAACTTCGGTTCAAATTTCTAAAAATAAGAAATAAACTACATCAAAATCTACAGAGAAAAAGTTACAGGAAAAAAAAAACAGAAGACTTGGCCTAGGGAGAGAGCTGTTTTTATAAATTTAAAAAAAAGGTGAGTGGGTATAGAGGAGAAAAATATTAATAGTAAACAAACGTGTGTTGGTAACTTTGGTTTGTTTTTGTTTCTTTCTTTGTTTTTTTTTATTTCAAACAAAGATAAAAACACAAAAAGATTTTGAGTTTTCAATAGAAACGTGTTTGAAAAAAGTGATTACAGTTCAATTGGTTGCTTCAGGTGACGTCATTTCAAATACGGAAAAGAATTATATGGAATAATAATTGCTCATTATTTAGTATTCTCGCCTCATCCATAAATTTATTTTTTACGCATTCATTCATTCATTCATCCATTCATTCATTCGTTCGTTCGTTCGTTCATTCATTCATTCATAATTTGTGCAAAACGAAAAAATACAAATATTATTCCAGTAATGATTTCTTTCATGTGCTGAGCGCTAGGTAGGATTTTAAATTTAATCGTACTTGTGATGTTACACTTACTATCTACTACTACTACTACTGCTGCTGCTTCTACTACTACTGTTGCTACTACCACTACTGCTATTAGTTCTAGTACAACAACAACTACTACTATTACTGCTACTACTGATGCTACATATATACTACTACTAATAATGATAATAACAATAGTACCTGGTATTTAGCCATACCGGGACCGGCCAACTGTCTAGAGTCAGTTGCGTAGACATGTCGGTCGTATAGAAACTTCACCTCGCGCGCTCCAGCGTCTTCAGCGTTCTGCACCAGCTCCTGTTTGTATCCAGTGAGAAAAAAAATCATCGTCGTGATTGTAATTATAATAATTATGATTATAATAATATTGTTATTATTAATTATGGTGATGATAATGTGAATAATAATAAGGATAATACTGCTACTACTGCTGTTGCTACTACTACTACTACTACTACTGCTACAACAACAACTACTACTACTACTACTACTACTACTACTACTATTATTACTAACAATAATAATAATAAAACGTAGAGTAGTTTCACTGGATACCCCAATGCAACTTTGCATACTAAGATCTAGAAATGTGTGGTCTTCGTGAATAAACATTAAATCATCATCTTCTTAAATAACTTATTAAAAGCAAACAATGAAAATAGTATAGCGTTATGTAGACACATATACTCACACTCACACATACACACAGACATTGAACTAATGTTATTTATTTGCAAATACATATGTGCGTGTATTTAGATGTATTTAAAAATTTTGATAGATATAATAGATATACGTATTTATTTATAATCCTATTGGATATAATGTTGGATTTAATGTTAGTTTACTTTTGAAATAGTTTCAAGAATTACAAAATTTTTTATAAGGATAGTATGATATATCATTAGGAGGATAGATATCATTTTTTCTATATCTGATATATATATTTTTATCGCTATCATCCGAGTCATCGAAAGAAGAGTGACTGATAAAATGAATGAACAAATAAAAAATTAATAATAGAATAAATGAATAGAAGAAGAATGCATGAATGAATGAGGAATCAGATGAATAGATGAACAAACAAATGAGAAACTGGATGAACGATCGAACAACGAATGAACGAATGAACGAATGAACGAATAAATGAATGAACGAATAAATGAATGAATGATGAATGAACGATTTTGTTTGAACTGCATACAAACGCCAGGCCAGTCAATAGCAAGTTTAATTTTGAATCACGTGAACAAATACGCACATGTTTTGTAAATATTTATTTAATTCGTATTAAAGTTCAGTAATAATATAAATTTTAACTATAATATTAAAAATATAACTCATTATTTTATATTCGTTGAAAAATTTAAATTTAGAATAAGTTTTCAACAGCAAAACAGCAAGTCATTATTATATTTGTATTATTATTTCCAGCTAGTTATTATTCCCAAATACCTTTAAGATCTGCGTGTCATCAGGGTACTGATCCAAAATCTTCTTGAGTTGTGTGAGTAGGGGTGGCAATATAATACCCTCGTTGAATACTTCTTCTTCCATGTTTGCACCTTCCATCTTCTACCCTCTATACCATTCGCTGTTGAGTTTGCTGGGCTGCTGCTAGGTTCTGCTTTCAGTGAGTTTTTGAAATATGTTTGTTTGTGTGTGTGTTAGTGGGTATGTGTGTTTGGTATGCTTGTTGTTTTATTGTGTCTGAATACAAGTGTGAGTGTGTGTATGTGTGTGATTGTTCAATTTATTAGTTTAATAAGTGTAAAACATTTAAAGAAAATTTCACCGACAATTAAGTTGTTTATTAAACAAATGCCTCGATGAAGAATTAAATTTTCTTTCATTTCTCTACGACCGAACAAATTTTTTCCATTCTCAATGTCACGCATATACTACAGACGAAATGTACTTACTGAAGTAAATGAGTGAATGAACGAATGAAGAAAACAATAAATGAATGAACGAACGAACGAATGAATTAATGAATGAACGAGCAAACGAATGAATGAATAAATAAAAAATAAGCCATCTCAAATGTACGATACACATTAAATCACACAGAAATCAAGCTTGATTTCAAGTTACAACAATAACAACAATAAATGATACTACTAATAATAAATATTAATAATAATAACAAATAACAATAATAATAATAAAGAACAATAATAACAATAACTAAAGCACCGACATCAATAACATTAGCAGTTGAGTGCAAGGCTATATAGTAGACACGTGATTTGAATGTGGTGAAATTAATTGCTGTTTTAATTACCATAGTATCATCTATTGATAGTATTGATGGTAACTGATTGCTTTTATAATCGATATAGTATCTATCTAGTATCTACGATAATTAATTGCTGTCATAACTAATATAGTATCTACCGTTCTCGATATATATCCATTATAACATTCATCTAATGCCCATGTCAAATCATATCATTATTTCTCGATATTATTTCATCATTATTATTATCGTCATTGTATCATCATTATCTTCAAACTTCATGATAGGAGTAGCAACATTAGTAGTAGTAGTTGTTGTAGTAGTAGTAGTAATAGTAGTAGTAGTAGTAATAGTTGTAATAGTAGTAATAGTTGTAGTAGTAGTAGTGGTAGTAGTAGTAGCAGCAACAGCAGCAGTAGTAATAGTGGTTGTAGTAGTAGAATAATGTGTGTGGCGTGTTATAATGAAAGCCAAATAAATCAGAAAGAACTGTTTGGATATTTATCGGGCTATATCTGAAAATTTCATGTTTGTGAAATATACTTTAGTCCAGTTGTGTTCAACTTTTAGCACATTATGTGGTTGTTTTGATGTTGTTGTTGTTGTTTTGATGTTGTTGTTGTTTTGCTGTTGTTTTGTTGTTGACGTTTTTTTTGGTTTGTTGTTGTTGTTTCGGTTAGAAATAGATAAAGAAAAGAAGAAAAACAAATAAAAAAAAAACAAAAAATAGAACAAAGTTAGAAAGTCTGACAGACAGACAAGCAAGCAAACAATCACGTAATAAAACAAAATTTCAGGTAAGATAACAAGGTCATCAAAACAACGCTTGCTATGCGCTGGTGCATGCAGAAATATATACAAACAACATGAAAAACTACTAACACACACCCCCCACACATACACACTCACACACATACACACTCTCACACATACAGATGCACGCACACACAAACAAACCAAAGAAAAAATCAAACACACAACCACGAACAAACTATGATATTTGCACAGACTAACATGAGTGCGTTGTATAAATTATAGACTGACCAGCCTAATGTATGTATGTATGCATGCATGTATCTGTGTATGTATTTATGTATGTATGTATGTGTGTGTATGTATGTATTTATGTATGTATGTGTTTGTGTGTGTGTTTATTTTTGTATGTACATATATATATATTTATACGAAGGCTTAATGCTCTGATCACTCAGCTTATACTAATTTTTCAAATATTATATAGACCTTATAAACCTATACAAAAATGCCGAAGTACCAAATACAATACAGACTTATACATATACAATACGCATAAATACCAAACTATAAACATACATACATACACGCGTGTAATGGTAGAAACAAAGTGATTATTTATATTTATTGCTCGCTCGTCACGCATACAGATTTGATGCATTTTGAAATTTCGGCCAGTGGGTTGTTTGGTTTGATTGCATGCGTATGTGTGTGTGTGTGTGTGTGTGTGTGTGTGTGTGTGTGTGTGTGGTGTAATATTTACGTTATGTTTATCAATGCCAAATGGATCTTGTGTACTCTCAATGTTTTACTCGATGTTTCGTTAATATTAATTATATCACTATTATTATTATTGTTTGTTGTTAATGTTATTATTGTCATTGAATAATGTGTTGTTGTTGTTGCTGCTGCGGTTGTTGTTGTTTTCTGAGTATAATTCAGGTAATAGAATATTATTTAGCTATCTGAAAATGCGATCTTTTTGTTATTCAAGTTTATTACCTTGGCTGGTTGGTTAGGCGAGGTAGTAGTAGCACTGAAATTGTTTGATGTAAGGTGGTGGATATGATTTAAAATATATATACGGTTTCTTATCGCTAGACGGCATCATAGTCATTATCGCTGACGTCATAATCGTTTATAATTACCATGATCATCATTTGTTTTCATCATAATAATCATAATTATTGGTTATAATTATAATTAATAACGCCATTTTTTTTATTTCTACATTTCAAAATTCAGTCATCTTAATTATACTTAATAAAATTTTTCCGAAACATCAATATTAATTGATGTCATTTATGTCATCGTCATCATCATCGTCTTCGTCATCATCATTGTCGTCGTCGTCATCATCACCATCATCATCGTCGTCATCATCGCGAATGACAACCGTAGAATGTGACCCGTAGAATAAACAAATCAATTACGAATATAACCGACACCGATTAAACACGAGTTGTAAAATTGTCGTCATCGAATGAACCGAACCGATTACCGATTGTAACGGTTATTATCAATTTATTTATATTACTTTTTATTATTATTATTGTTTTTGTTGTTATTATTATTTAAGAATGAACAGTTTATTTGAGTGTCTCATTTGATTTGTTGTGTTGGGAAAAGAAAAGAAAACTACATAGGCATACAAATAAGTAGATGAATAATGAAATAGTGTGAATGAATGATTGAAAAAATGAATAGATGAATAAATGAATGAATGAATAAATGAATGAACAATTGAAAGAAAAACAAACAAATGAGTAAATGAATGATTGGTTGAATGTGTGAAGAACCGAATGAAATATCAATTGATTGACTGAATTATCGATTTACTGACTGACTAACTGAATGAATGAATGAATGAATGATTGAATGAATGAACGAACGAACGATCGACGAATGAATGAATGAATGAATGAACAAATGAATAAGCAAATATAACAGCACGATTGGATGAATGTTTCAATAAAAAAAAACAGACAGATAGAAAAATAATTGACAGAGTTAACGAATAACAGAGCGAATGAATGAATAATCGAATGCATACAACACGACTTATAACAAATCATTAACAACTTAGGAAATATAAAAAATACAGAGAGAGAGAAAGAGAGAGAGAGAGAGAGAGAGAGAGAAAGAGAGAGAGGAGAGAGAGAGAGAGAGAAGGAGAGAGAAAGAGAGTTGTAGAGGTATATTTATATACATATATAACAGTACCTAACTCATATAGCTAAACACAATGAGTGATTTATACATTGTTATATTATATTACCAAGTAAATACTGTTATTATTATTATTATTTATCATCATTATTATTTTCTATTATTATTATTATACTTTTTATTATTATTATAATTATTATGTTATTATTATTATTCTTATCGCGCAAAATTCTTTGATGCGTGCCTCGCTATAGAGAAATGCTTTGAATGGATGACGAGACGACGACGAAGAAGAAGATAATGATGACGATGATGATGATGGTGACGATGATGATGATGGTGGTGATGATGACGATGATGATGGTGACGATGATGATGATGGTGACGATGATGATGATGGTGGTGACGATGATGATGATGATTTAGATAATTATGACGAAAGTATATATATATATATATATGAATAAAATATGAATAAAACAGTAATTGAGCCTATGATAATAATTGTTAAAATTGTTAGAATGATTATTAGACTATGATGACGATACTGAATAAGAATAATAATAATAATAAAATAAAAATTATAATAATAATAATAATAAATGAGCAATCAATAAAAGGAGTGTTCTAAGTAATGGTGATTGACTAATTTGACTATGTATAATTGACACGGTTTATAAGTTATGAGTGTGGGAATTTTAAGCAAACTCACACGTAAACACAGACACACATACATACACAAAGACACAAACACACATACATATATACACAGTAAAAACAATAGCAGCTGTAACAACAACAAAAACAACCAAAACAACAATAACAAAATAACGGTTGTGATAATAACAATAAACAAACTTGATTAGAGCGGTATGGTAAACAGACATTTCCGCCGTTCAGATATTAGAAAATAAAAAAATAAAACAACATATAAGCATACAACGGTAAACATACAAACATACAAACATACATAAATCTACACTCGCAAACATATGAACATACACATAGAAACATAAAAATACAACCAACACTTAGTGTTTGTGTGTGTGCGTGCCATAGATCATTCTGTTGTTGTTGTTGTTGTTTTAATTTTACTAAAAATGACATCAACGACAAATATCCGACTTTAAAATAACATTACATTACATTAAGTGCGTTTCTGTAATGTGATTTTGTTGCCTATATTAATGTTTTGTGGTGTGGTGTTAATGTGATGTGGCTTTGAGTTAGTGTATGTGTGTGTGTGTATGTGAGTGTGTGTGTGCGAGTGTGTGTGTGTGTGAGTTAACGTTTGTTGTTAATTTGTTATAACATTTAGTGTGTTTGTGTTGTTGTAAGTTAATGTTTTGTAGTTAATGTGATGCTGTGGTATAATAAATGTTGATAATGAGTATTTTGGTAGTTAGTTTTCTGCTAATGTGTTGGTGTTAATATGTGCAATGCTAAATACGCTGTTGATGTCGTTTGTTAACGACTTGCA